AGAAGTTAATATGGCTTAATAATAATTTTTATTCTACAATGCCATGTGCATATTGTTCACTAATCAATACCAACAAATTGATTTCATTTCTAGTATCAAGAATCATATGCTTTTCTTATATTGATTTTTTTTATTGACTTTGTAAACAAGTACATTAGCCATTTGCGTATAATTATCCTTCAATCTAATCAACATTACTACAACTAAACATTGCTGACTATGACTTTACAATATCTACTCATTTTTAGATAATTAAATAAAATTTTCAAATGTTCAATAATAACTTTTTCACTTTCCTCTAAATCTAAACATAGCGATTTCCATTCGATATCTCTCAAACACATTTACAATATCTGTAATTACATTAATTGTGCGCCTATTAATCCAAATTTTAATTAATATATATTATTCAACCAATTTTCGTAGGACAGTTCAGTGCATAAACTTTATCGTATGTTAAATGTTATTAAAAACGCCGAAACTCAATAAATTGTTTTGTGAAATATTAAACACCTGCCATCAGGCCGGATTTAGAAATTTGGCGCCCTGGGGCCCTGACAAAAATGCCGCCCCATCCCTAAATTTTTACTTAGAATAGTTTATATATGTATATATATATCATTTTTCTAAAATTAAAATAACTACTTGATTGCGGAAAATTTATTACCCATGACATAGTGTAAATAATGGTGCTTGGCATCGTGCCTTAAGATAAATTGCTGAAACTTCCCGTACCAAAAATTAAAGTTTAAAAAAAAATTAAAGCGATCGGCCTGCTTTAGCTGCGTACAGACAAAATCAGGAAGCGCGTAAGCGCCGCCTCGTAGAATAACAGATAAATAATTTTACAGAACCCATAGAAATGTAAACAAAATTTATATTATTAAAATATCTGATAATTTGATGTGCATATGATCATTTTTGACCGCCAAATGTTTCTCTTTCAATTTTTTTCATTGGATCACCGAAACCGCTAGACCTGCCTCCCACAAATTTAAACAGTTCTCCATTTTGTCTATATATGTAAATTTCTTTTAATGATATTGGACGTTTCGTTTCTCAAATGATGAATGATTATTTTTGGCATTTTGGCCCGTATTTCCGAAGCAGTTGGACCCGTCTTGGCCAATAACTAATCAGCACGTCTCGCTATCAATAGAAATCGAATTATTCAAATAAAATTTAATTTTAATAAATTTAATAAATGAAACTTAATAACTTTCAAAAAAAAAATCGAAATATAAAAAAAAAAAGTTTTTTTAAATTCAATTTTTATCATTTTTCAAAAAATTTTAAAGCTTTTTGTAAAATGCAATTTTCAGCACGGAGTTTCAGTAACTTGCCGTAAGGCACAATGCCATGCGTCACTAATTTAATTTTTTTAGGCGCTATGAGCTTGGAAGTGCACAAATTCGTCATCTTAAGAGGGCTCGATATCTGAAGAACCCATTTTTCTTAAACTTTCAACTCACTTACGAAACTTTATACTAGCCAAATTGCCAAATTTTGCATTGCATTTGTATAATGTTTTGTTGATTATATTTCTTGAAATTAAAAATGTTATTAAAAAAAATAAATGAAATATGTGGTAAAGAATTTTCTTCTCACTATCTAAATTTGCCGCCCTGGGCAGTAGCCCCGACTGCCCCTACTGTAAATCCAGCACTGCCTGCCATATGCAAATACTGGCACGATTACGTATATGTACGTTTGTCTTTTATATCATTTAAGCATTTAAATTAATACTTAGCTTTTTACACATGTAGAGAAGTTTTGTAGGCTGTTCATTAGCGGACGGTATAAGTAATCTAATTAGACAATTTGTATTTAATTGCTGTGAATAATGCACAAATCCATAAACTTTAAAGAGCTTTTGCTAATTCCAAAGAAAAGCTGGTCCGATTGCCACTTAATAGCGGCTCTTCCTTATCGAGTTTATTCCAATGGCTTTTAATTTGTGAAATATTTTCTTTCGTTTTTGAGAAAACGTTGACGAAATTCAAATTTTGACTTATCTTAAAATGGACTTTTGGCTATCCATCCATTGATGAATTTTTAAAATTAAACAACTTTTCGACGGGCCGTAATATTTTAGTATGTTCTTTAAGACCATGATATCTGTCGTCAAAAAATGATTTATGAAAATCGCCGAAACAAAAAAAATTAACAGTTAATTACAAGAAAATCTTTATGAAAAATTAATAAGCATGATTCTCAACCAATATCTTTCGAACGCTTTTTTAATGAAAAACGCTAATGCTCATCGAGTTACATCGAATGACTTGGTTCAGCCGTTTTAGAGAAAACGTCGGCTAAAGGTCGAAAATCGGCTCACATACAACGTACACACACATGCCCCTACTGTAAATTTCATACTTTTTTCGTACTGGGTCTCATTTGACTCAGAATAACTTGAAACGTCGAGAAAATATAAATTTAGCGAATCAGATTTTTGGGTGAAAACATAAGCTTCTCCTTCGGGAAGTTAATATTATTAAAAAACAAAACAATGGCATTTTGTTGGCATTTTTCCTATGAAAGAAAAAACAGACATTTTTAACTGCTTGAAAAATATATTTTTTGAAAATTTTGAAAATTCTGAATAATTAAGAAAATTTTATTTCTTTTAGAAAATTTCTGATAAAAATCGACTCTTTGGAAAATATTGAAACAATTCGACGTTTTTTGAAAAGAAAACATTCAAAATATAAGTTTATTTATAATTTTAAAAACCTTTCTTTACATTTTTGTTTATTATTTTTCTTTTTGGCATGTGTACAGTTTGTAGTTTCTTCTGGAATGTGTTTCTTCGTGATAACTTGTCGGTACAGGAGCCTCAGGCCATCTTGTGTTTTTCAGAAAACCCTCTCGCCTGCCAACAGCCAGTAAAAACTGCTTCATTTTCTCCGCCGTGGAACTTCGTTGAATCGGTCTTCACCTCCATCGGCGTTCGAACTGCCTTTAGCTCTAGATGAGGTTCTCGAGTCGTTACTTATTCGGCCATTGGAATACTTGAAGATACATGCTATTTTAATCGTATTTATATTGTTAGTCTAATATAATTTAATAAATTATAAGTCGCCCTATATATGTCTCTTATTCATTGCCCATCTTTCTCTATCCCTGCATCACTCCATTTGTTCTTCCTGCCTTATCATATCTGGAGATCTATTCCTAAATGTGAGGTGTGAGTTTTTTTTTTCTGACAGATCCGTGTTTTTTTTCTGTATATTTAACATATTTGCCCCTGCTTAGCCAAATTTGTGAAACCCCCAACTATCATGACGCCTGCTAATCGATCTAAGCTATTCGTCCATAGATTGTCAAAGTTTGAATAGAGAAGTTTTTTGTCTAGTTGCAGGTTTTGCTTGCCTTCTTGCCTTATAGGTTGCTCGAAAATCTGACCGTCATCCTAATAAAAGTCATTGGTTTCAGATCACATTTTCTATTGTGAAGGGTTTGACTCTTCTCCTGGTACTACTCTTGAGGTTTAATGCAACGGAGCGTTTTAGGTCTAAATTTTTTTACTGTGCTCCGAATTGAATGAAATTTTGGAATTAGGTTCATCTTATCCTCAAGTTCAAAAGTGAAAATAATTCGGGTTGCGCCATCACCCCCTGGAGGGATGGCACCCCTTCTCAATTGTGCAATTACATTTTTTCAAAATAACGTCGGAAATCGACAGAAGAACTAATTATAAGAAAAAATGTCTCTTATAAAAAATGTTAATCGTTTTTAAAAAAATAATAATTTTTGGTATGAGAAGTTCGAGCAATTTGCCTTAAGGCGCGATGCCATGCGCCCCACTAGTTTTGGGTTATTTTATACCTAAGCTATAAAATTGCTTGTGAGACGAGAAAGCGACTCCTTCTTTCGACGCAATTCTTTGTATTAGTAAAAAAATCGAGCTAATATCTGTACGTGTTAACAGATTTAGTACCAGGATAGGGAAGGCGAATATGACAAAATCTCCGATACAACTGCGCTCTGATTCACTCTGAGGGAGGAATTATATCCTCGTATATAACTCACTCCAGAGTTACACAACTCTAATATATATATATATATATATATATATATATATATATATATATATATATATATGCAGTACTGGTCAAAAGTTTGGGTCCACTTCACAATATTGATGAAATGTACAAGAAACCATCGTTTTCTTCATTTATTATCAATATTTATAAAAAAGTAATCACTGTTTATACCAAATATGTCAACTCACAAAGAAACCCACAAATTCTTATCTATATTTTTGAGTTTTCAAAATATCCACCTTTTTGGTAAACTTTTTTGTCCATTATATCCTCAATTTTTCATTCATATTATGTAAAAAATCAAGTAGAAAAACCATTTTCTACTTTTCTTAAATATATTGTTTGTTTAAATCTTATCAATATCATGTTTTTGACAGAAGAATGGTTTTTTAAACAACTTTTTTGTTTAAAATATTTACAAATCCAATATGCTACCATCCAATATGAATATATATATATATATATATATATATATATATATATATATATAATATATGTATGTATGGGTAACCCACAGCCTAATGGGCAGGTGCCAGTGGAGTTCGCCTGAAACTAGCTTAAGATGATCACCTATAACTCATAAATTAGATCATAGTCAGTACACATTCTTCCGACAACAAGTAAATATGTACATTTTTCAATAAAAATGTATTTCTTCATAAATCAGCTAAATACATGAGAGCCAATATACATATATGGAAGCAGCACAGTGATATACAGCATCGGTCACTTAAAGTTTATTTTTAGCATTTCAATTTAAACACTATAAAAAGCATATATATTCTATTTTTTGTTTACAATATATAAAAGATAAGGACATATGAAGATACCTAAATATAATATACTTTTTATAATTAAATAATTGTACTACTTTACATCATCATAATACATAATATGTATATATATATATATATATATATATATATATATATATATATATATATATATATGATTTTAGGTTTCAAATGGATTCAAATTTTTATCATAGTCATCATCACTAAATGGATTTCCAGAGTTCGGTTCAATATCTTCTGCAAATGGATTTTTAGATTCATCATAATCCTCATAGAATGGATTTGATTCATCTAAGTCATCTATTATCTTATTATTTTGAGCTATAGAATTAGCATTTTTCTCTGTGTACACTACAGCAGATGCATTTTGGCTTCCCATAGTAATTGTATCAGTATTAGAGGATGGAATTGTATCAATGTTTGAAATATTGGCTACAAGTGTTGCATTGTATGAATTTGCTTTCATTTCATTCTGCCTCATTCTACCTTCTGAAATGGGACGCTCCAACACTAAAATAACATATTATATATTATGAAAATATATATCATATAAAAAATATGTCAGAAAAAAAAAATGGAATGCGAAGGTCATGAGAGGACCTGGTTATTGTTAAGGAGGCAGAATTTCATATCTTTGCATTTTAAAATTCCATTTTGCAATTTTGAAGCATATATAAAGTAATACCTTGCTTAACGCTGCTTCGTTTAGCGCTGTTTTATTTCAAACCAAAGACTTTAAAATATGGGTGAGATCATGAAGGAAATAGTGGTAAATTATATGAACACACATATCATATTATATATCATTTTATTCATAATTTTATTGATGAGATAAATTAGAAAGGTGTAGAAAAATAGTGCAAGAAACAGCAACTAATCTTTTCTAATGATGATCTGAAATCTATTCAAATTTAAATTCTAATGATGCAAGAAGGAAACAAAAATATAAATGATAGTAGGAATTTCGAAGAACATTAGGTTGTCAAATATCTCCCTTCCGCTTTTTTGGTTTATAATACCAAAAGGCGGAAGGGAGATATTTGACAACCTTGGTATATTATTATATTGGTGGTTGTAAAGGATCATTGACTACTTTGACTGAAATTATAGACCAGAATAGGAAACATGAAATAAATAATAATCTGACCGAATGAGAAACAACATTTAAAATAACATTTTAGCAATTTTAATTCAGAGCCGATTTTCAGTCCATCTTCTCCCAAACATGTTAAGATAAGCTCTATTTATTTATCACAGGTTTGCTTCACGCTCTACTTTAATGGAATTTAGCCCCCGCATATATATATATATATATATATATATATATATATATATATATTGTTTATGTATATATTTTCATACCTGGCTGCCTATTTCCTTCTAATAACCGTATTTTTGCTTCTGCACCAGGACCATATGTAGTGTTTGAATTACTTGTATTTGAAATAGGTTTAACCAAAAGTTCTTTGCTAAAATAATTGTTGGCTTCTACAGAAACAGGAAAATTTTTGTCCTTTTCCAGATTTGCAACAGGACTTTTACTAAATATGCCTTTACTGAAGTAGTCGGCTACATGTAAAAATGAGTCCTCTGATTGATCCAATGCTTTATGAAATGAGTCATGAAGAGTTTTAGGATTCACTTGGGAATGTACAAGGTCTAGCATTTGCTTATTATTTGGTAAACAAGCAGGGCACTCGGACTCATGTTCTGAGAAACTCTGAAAACAACTGTTTAAAAAAGGAAAGACAATATTAATGACCAAAGTGATAAAAGTAAAAAATCATTTACCATAATTTTAAATAATAGGGTTAAATATACTATGAATAAATGTGAAATGCCTGCCTATGCAGGAAATAAAAAGAGAATCTATTGAAGCCTTCATTCTATTAAGTAACCGATAAGCATTTGTGTAGAATACATATTTTAAAACAAGAAGTATACTATGTTTTGCTTACTGCTGGTGAAATGAATGATGACACAAAAAGTGAATAGAAGGCAATTCTAATGGATGATTGCAAGCAGAACACCTTGCTCCTCGAAATTCTATTGGACCCTCTTGCATATTTGCTATATTTTTCTTAATTTTCTCAGATTCGGAGCGATATTTATTGATTAATTCATTTACCTACAGAAACATTTATATAAATTAGATAAACAATACTCAGCATGATCACAAATTCAAGCAACAGTTACCTCTTTGGTATTATCATTTTCTTGTTGAAAAACTTCAATAAAATATTCTCTCGATGTTCCTAATGTAGGACCTTCAGGAATTGATAAACAGTCTAATACTTGCAAAGGAGACTGTAGTTTCTCTTTAGCTTTCAATATAAAATAAAATTATACTCTCTAATCAATACAGTTTACTCCAATGAATCATTTGAGCATATGTTTGACATATGCATGCTTGACACTATTATTATTTGTTATACAACTTCTAGCAAGCATGCCCTAAGATATTTGACAAAACAAAAGATTTTGCCTAGATAATATTGCCTGCGTGCTTATATGTTAAATTACTTTCATTTAATACTAGATCTTGCACAATTAATTTTATTCTGGTTCATGATATATGATATATATATATATATATATATATATATATAGATCTTGAGGATTTTTTGTTCAACGTTGAAACATATTGAAATGAATAAAACATTATTAATTTCAAACACTCTTTTAATACTGACCATCCCATAATTTTATATAAAGAAAAGAATGTGGACCATAGAAGATTTTCCGAATCCAGTTTTATCTTTTTAAATTCAAATTGTATAAACAAACGCAGTTCTCCTTGCTTACTTTCAGAAAATATAATTAATTGCTGTAAATCTGATTCCCTACTACGCCCCTGAATCGCGTACGTCCCTCTCCATGCATCGCGGTTAGAAACAAATAATTATGTGTTTTATACATTTTTACATTAAAAAATTAAAATAAACTTTCTACATTCGACGCATTGGATGTTTAATTCATTTCAATATATATATATATATATATATATATATATATATATATATATATATATATATATATATATATATATATACCACGGTTTAAGAAAACTAGAATAAATTTAACATTCTAGAGCTAAAATTTCTATTTAAATTTATTACTTGCAAGATTGAAAATAAAACTTCTGTGCAATTCAATTCTGTACAAATATTTTTCATATATTTCAGTTTACTTAAAGTCTATATATATTAAATACTTTTCTTACCAATAAATTGTAACATTTCTGCAACTATTTCTTTGGGAGCATCCTGATTTCTGCACACACCCCAAAGTGCCTGAAGCCATAATGTGGGTTGTGATGATCCTAATCGCCTACACACATCCAAAACATTATTGTAATCCTTATGTTTTAAACTGTGCCTTATAATGAGTTCATACCTACAAGTATAAAAAGCAATCAAATAAATCATCAAAAAATTATTGACTAGAAAAAGTCAGAAATTATTTAAAGTATGCCAATAACTGATTACTGTAATTATCTTTCAACTTCATATAAACACAATATACTATTTATTTTCTCAGTTATTAATTATTAATGCAAATCTAATAATATGTTGGAATTTAAAAGTTATGATAATGTATCTGCTTTAAAAATGTGTTAACTTCTTACTAACATTTTGGTTTTTTCATACAAATACAACATTCCTGGATAAAATTTATATGTATGACATAGAACTAATATATGATGTTCATCATATGAGGAATCAGTATGTCTTAGTATTTCTAGTATTCTATCTCTGATTGCTTCTAAGGAATTATCACTTGCCCATAATTGAAGATACTGTTCCAATAGAGTGTTATAAACTAATGTATCACAAACAGTAAGGACTTTGATGAGGCATTCCAAAAACTCAATAAGATAACCAGAATTATCATGAAATAGATGAATGTAATCTTCAGGATTCGCACGATCAACACTATTGTGCATTTGTATATCTATTAATGGTTTATATTTGGGATGATAATCAGTACATAGTTTTTTCAAAAATTCTGTTGATTCCTTAGGTATGATTTCAAGTAAAATTGTTCCATATATGCTCATGTATTTTGTGGCATCTTCAAATTCTAAACTCTCAATATAATCTAGTCCTTGTTTGTGTTCTTTCATGTCTTCTAACAATATTTTCAAACATAAATCATGTTTACCATGCTTTTTTGCTAATTCCAAGGCTTGATCAATACTAGCTGTTCTGCAAACCTGTATTGCAACGTCTACATCAAAGTCTAATTCACGATCACTAGCTTTCAAAAAATTAGCTAGTTGTTCAGGTTCATCTAACCTAGTGAAACAGTTCAATAGAAGAGTAGTATGATCCCCAGATGCATAACCTTGCCTATGCAGAGCTTGCAAATATGATGTTAAATGATTTATATGTTGAGATGATAAAAATCGCCTAATAACATATGATGGTTCCAAACAACCTATTGTTTTAATATACTGTTCTACAGCACTTCCATAATCTCCTTTAGCATATAAGTGATCACCATACTGCCGAAATATATCCGACAAACTATCACTATCATATTGTTGTTTCTTTGCTATCCGTATAGCAACATCATATAAATTCTTTTTAAAGAGTAAGTTCAATTTTGATTGTAAATCCTTTTCGTCTAAATGCCATATTTCATTATTTGAAGTCAGTATGTAACATGCACCCCATTCAGTGAAAATGTGCTCGAAGTCATCTACTGGCGATGAATAAACTATAAATTTATTTTGTATATCTAACACTGTCAGTTGTAATTTTGAATTCATAGATGTATTTGATGTTGGCTTTGAACGAGATAGAATTACTAAATGAGATCTGAACCATTGTAAATACATCTTTTCACCTTTCACTGCGTAACAAGGTCCTCTTCCATCAGCTGAATAACAATAAACAGCCTAAAATGAAAGTATATATTACTAGATTATAATTCAGCAATCTAGTAATAAATATATATATATATATATATATATATATATATATATGTGTGTGTGTGTATTCATACATCTGTCCTTCCAACCATAAAGTCACTGTGATCTTCACTTGACCGCTCTGGTGGAGCACAATAACCAGGATCGCATTCAGATTTATCAAGAGTTAATTTATTTTCTCTATCCCGGCCTGTTAAAGTATATACTAATACACCTTTACTGCTACTTATAAATAAATGAACACATTTTGTTACAGCCCTGAAATAGTACTTTCCAAATTATTTTGTAAAACAACATTAATGCCAAATCAAGCATTCCCTATCTCAATAATATAAATTACTTTTTAAGCTTGCAGTATTTATTAAAAGTAAGTTATTAATATCACTATTATTTGACTAGTTATATATTCAAAATCATTCACAATACAAGAATCATGTGCAAAAACAAATATTAATTATTGTCCAGAACTAAAAAAATATGAATAAACAAATTTTTATTCAAAACACCTGCATAACTCAATTCAATTAATAAATGGTATCCTAATAAAAAATAAAGTTCTCAATCAAACTCTCATACTTGAAACCCAATCCATATATAATTCCACTATTTGCAGTAAGGGTCTTAACTTTAGACCTATCTCGTGTGATATCACCACGATGCAGATCAATTGTTCCATTGTCGTATCCTATTGCTAATAGTTGCCCACCTTCGCCAATAGTGAGACAAGTTGGCTTTCGGTTCATTTGAGACGGAGACTTGAAAGTTCTTAAGCATGTTGGAACTCCTAAAAAAATAAAAAACTCTAATGTTTCAAAACTTTCTATAATATGAGAAAAACTAATAAAAAGAAGTAATATTTGTTATTATGTATTTATTCAAATAATTTAAAATCAAATTATAAAATAAATTCTTTTTATCACATTAAATATAATCCTATATGAATCTGTACCCTTTCGAAATTCAAGATATTTAAATAATTTATAAATTTTAATATTAAAAAAATTCATATTTTTTTTATCGTATGAAATATAATCGCGAGGAAAAAATCGTAAAATTGTCAAAAAAAAAAAAAATAAAAATCATTTAAAAATGTACATTTTAGAATATTTATTAGCCTGCAACCTTATTAACTTCCCGAAGAAGAAGTTTATGTTTTCATGAAAATATCCGATTCGCTAATTTTGTTTTCTCGACGTTTCAAGCCACCATAAATTGAATGAGACCAAATTTGGAAAAAGTATGTGTGTTTTTTTTTTCTGGTATAGCGAAGGAAATGAATTAACTGTCGAAAAAAAAAAATTGAAGCCGATTTTTATGGAACTTTTTTTGGCGATATATATCATGATCTTATGGAACTTACTGAAATATTACGGTCTTACGACGAGTAGTTAAATTTTAAAAATTCATCAAAGTTTGAGAAAATGACGTTCTTTTGACGTTTGTTAAAATTAAAGTTAGACGATTTACTTGGTATAACAATAGAGTACTTGATCTTAATGAACATACTAAACCATTAAAGCCCTACGGACACTGGTTCAATTACAAAAATTGTTGATTTTAGAAAATTTGCTTTTAGGAAAGTGTTCAATTATGTGTAATAAATCCACTCGGAATACTTTCAATCACTCATAAATTCATTTATATTTTATTGATCGACTCGATTATTTATACATATCGGGAAGTTCATGTAACTTGCCTCAAGGCAAAATACCAATACCAACTAGTTTATTTTTATTACACAATAGCATGTACAATATTAAACAAAAAAAAAAAAAAAAAAAAACATTACAAATGTCCCGTTTGATTGATGTCCAAAACCCTAGTAGAGGAAAACTAACTTATATTTAATAGTCTTTACTTTTTATATTTATTGTTTGTCCTCTTATTCCTCAATAATATCTTATTATTTTATCTTTGTATGATATATTCTTTACAGACAAATAAAACTTGTTAGTGAACCACGAATAAAAATCATAAGAACCTACTTTTACATTCATGTCTATTATGCTCAACTTCATTGAAAAATAATTATTAAGGCTGAAAAAGTTTCATAAAGCAAAAGTTTAATAGATCTAAGATCAAGAATTAAAATCATACCTGTTTTTGTCAATTTGGATAAATTCCACACTTTCATTAAGTGTACATTCAAATCATCTTCCTAAAATATTATCATTTATTAATTTATACAATTAATACTGTTATTTATTATTTCACTGATATAAGTAAATTCCCAAAAACTATGAAATGAGTGGTTCTGAAATACTTCAACTCCATCTCTGATTTATAGAATAATCATTTTTAATAGAAAATGATAATTGTAAATTTCAAGTAAAATATCTATTGTAAAGTTCAATAAAATTACGATTAGATGAGAATGAAAATATTTTTCTGTAAATCTTTTCAAATTGATCAACTAATCATACGCCTCAAAATTGATATAAGCTGATACAAATCAGAAGTTAGGCAGCATACAAAAGCTCGATATTGGAGTCAATAATAACAATAATATTCTTTAAGTGACTGATTGAACAAAAAAGACAGGAACGAAAAAAATAATATCTTACTCCAATAGTTACTAAAATGGCAGGATATTGTGTATCACTTAATAATACACTCTTATCGTAGGCTTGAAATGTTTGAGCCTGCCATAGGCGAGATATCAGATGTATATGCCCTGATGATGTTCCAAATATTATTATACTACTTGCACTATTACTCCAAGTGGAAATGGTATTTACTTTTGAATCCTAAAATAATATTTAAATATTATTAAATATTTTTACATTTTAAAAACTAGTCATTTAAATGACTGATATTTGATAATTCTGGCGTACTTTCAATAGATCGGCTATTTTACCATCATCAGTATCTTTTTTAAGATCGAAGAAATTAAATTTCCTCCACTAAAAAACAATAAAAGCACTCGTTATAAATAATGAATTATTTATTTAAAAAATAATATATTGATCACAAAAATCAGAACCTCTAAAAAGGCCATTCTTGGTAGGGCGATATAAAAATATTTTCAAAATCTATGTAAATGTAAACTAAATACAAACATTGTAAAACAACATTGTTTATAATAATAAATTATGATTAAAAGTTTATAAAACCGTGATTATTTTGTAAAATGACATTAGACAGCGATCAGGTCAATTGTCAAAGAAACTGTCACTTCGTGCGACGCTGCTGCCATAAGGGCGTTACTATTCAACTAGCTGTCAAAACGTAATTTTAAATTTTTATACGCCTAGACCATATATATTATTACTGGATCATAGATAAATAAGCATGTACTGCATGTACTATTGGGTTGTTCGGAAAGTAACTTCGTTCTTTATCGACATTTTGGCACGCAATTTTCGTACAATAAACAAATACTTTAATAAATAATGTATTGGCAGTTTTTCTGGTATTAGCATAATTCCGAGATCATAAATTTTTTGGTCGTTATTGGCAAAAAACTGATCAAAGTGCTTTTTGACATGCTGATTTGAGGTAAAGATTTTACCGCCTAAAAATTTTTTTAGTGACCGGAACAGATAATGGTCCGATGATGGCAGATCTGGACAATATGATGAAAGTGTCATTGGGTCCAATTCAAGCAACAAAAAATTTGGCGATTGCCCAAACTTATGTGAGGTCTTGCGTCGTCCGGATGCGGTACTATACCTTGCTTGTGGGATAATTCTGACCTATTCTATTGAAGTACATAATTTATTGTATGCAGCTGATGACATAAGGCATCCGTATTAACCATTATGTTATCCTGGAAATGTTAAAAAAAGAATAACTTTTTTAAAATCTTACCAAACATGCAGCATCACCCTTTCCTGGCAAATTTCAGGATCCCACCTGTTTTGAGCAGTTCTTTTTTTTGTTTCGTGGGTAATTACGCGTATTGTATTCTTTACATCTCATTTGATATTCCTAAAGACAATTCGACAAACAGTATATTTTTACCTTTTCAGCACAAGAGTACAATAAGTCGAAAATGCTGCTTAATTCTTTTCCGTATTCAGAGTGGCACCATCCAAAACCTTTTTTTTTTACCTTTCAGGAAAAGAGTAAAATAAGCCAAAAATGCTGCTTAATTCTCCATATTCAAAGTGGCACCATCCAAAAACTACTGCATGTAATTGATTACAAATTTTTACATACAAGCCTTAAAATAGAAGTATTTTAATCATATAATAATTGTAGGGCCTCAGTGTGATGTCAGGTTAATTTTTTTTATAGCAAATATATCTGCATAGATAAATAAACATAAAACAGTACATATATCTGTATCTGATTTGTCAGCAGCAGACTGACTTACAATTAATTCTTTTAATAAGCCTGAGTTTGTTTATTTTATTAATTGTTGATATTGTACATTTTTAGCATATGGTTTATAGCATATTTCATTATAAAGTAATTTAAAATTGCAACTGCATTGCTAGCAATTCAATTAGCATTGTTTTCACATGGGATATAATTAAGCATTGTGATTCCGATAAGATTCCAGTCGAATTGCATATAAACTCCGATATTTTCCAACTTCATATTAATCAATGTACGCGAAAGCGACAGCCGTGACAACGGTCACATGGTCTTGTGTGTCAAGAAATTCTTTGACGGTGGCTAAGAGTTGACAATATTTTAGTTGATTTTTCATTTTATTTGACGATTGTGAAACATATATGTGAAACGGACTAATCGTAGCCGTAAAAACTATGATATTATTTGCAAATATCAATATTTAATTAATTCATTGTCATTTAATGTCAATTCGAAAGCGATGGTTATTCGGACATATAATGTGTATTCCAATACGAAGGTTAGTATATTCACTGAATTTATGTTAATATTTCTTATAATAAACTTAAGAAAAATAACGTTTAGTTATTTTTTCATATAAATAATGTTCAAATAATCTGCATTGCGGCCGAGCTTGCGCATTAATTTTTCATGCCTTTTCAATTTGTTATTTACGTTTTTTTGCCAAATCATTCATCATTTGTTATTGTCATTCTAATTAGATCAACGGCCATAAGATAATTTTAATAATATATAAATGCCAATTAAATGTGAAATACAATTTGAGGTTAATACTATTATAATTTTCAGCATATTCGGATTGCTTCATGATTAGCCAATGGCTTGTTGTCGAACACATGCTCTTCGCATAGCCTTGTGCTTATTAGTAATTTTGATATTTTTACAATATATGTATGGCTCCCGACTTGGAGCTGTTGACAATTTGAATATTACCAATGTGTCAGCTCCATCGCAATGGCCAAAGCGGACTCACACAAGACCCATTTATTTAAGTACTGTCAATATCAGCACAACAGTGCCTGTGATTTTAGGAAATATTTCATACAATATAAACAGCACAAATACCATTAGCCACTTAAGTAATAATAATTTAAATATTGATGATAATATAACTCACAATAATATTAGTAATATGACTGTGATTAGTCCAAGAGATACATATAGTTACAATAGTACACTTAAAAATTCTATAATATTAGTAAAACTTTCAAATAATATGAGTGCTTTGATAACTCCACAATCTGTTGTTGATAACAGAATGCTAAAATGCCCTCCGGTTCCCCCTAACTTAGGTAAGATTGAAACTAATATTTTTCAATATTTTATCTATTGATTTATTTTATCATGCATCTATCTATTTAAGAGGGTCCCATATCTGTGAACACTAATCCTACGGATATAAATAAATTAACATCAAAATTGAAGCATTTACTAAGTCCGGGAGGATGCTATAATCCAAAGGAATGTGTAGCAAGAGATAAAGTTGCAATTATTGTACCTTATAGGTATATTACACATTATATAAAATATATTGCTCAAGTACTGAATCTTAATAGTTTACATTTTAATAATTTTTGTTTCACACACTAAAAATGTTTGAGTTGTTACTAATAAAATGATTTTTATTGACTGATTGTAATCACAATTTAGTTAAAGCTCTTAATGATTACTTACTAACATGGAATAAACATCCATTTTATGTTAATGAAACATAAAAACTAAATAAATCTTCATAACTTAAAAATTTAGTAACTATAACTTTAATATCATAATCAAGGTTCAAAACTTGGGTTATTTCACAAAATATTTCTTTTATTTGAAAGCTTAATTTGAATGTATTTAATTTTCAGAGATCGAGCTGAACACCTATCAATCTTTTTGAATAATTTACATCCTTTTCTTATGAAACAGCAAATATATTATCAAATATATATTATTGAACAAAATCAAGGGTCAGTTTTTAATCGTGCAGCTCTACTAAATGTGGGCTATGTGGAGGCTCTTAAAGAGCGGCATTGGGATTGTTTTATATTTCATGATATTGACCTTCTGCCATTAGATGACAGAAATCTGTACAACTGTCCAGATCAGCCCCGACATATGAGTGTTGCAGTAGACGTATTCAAATACAAGTAACACAATCAAACAAAAACATTGCTTGTTCCTTACTTATTGCATGTATGAATACTTTTTTACAATTTTTTAAGCCAAATGCATTTGATAGACAAATAATCCTTTTTACATTGTTTCTTTAATTTTGCATAGTTAGTAAATCAAACTGTTTTTATTTAACCCTATATGAAATGATGTTCACTAGTAGTACAAGGCATACACTAATTCTTTCCTGCTATATTAGTTCATTAGTGTATATTAATTTGTGACTGTCTATCTACTTGTCTATCAAAAGTTTGTGGCAATTAGATGTAGTGGCAATTATACATTTATATGCTATGTTGCTTTCTATAATACACTTGTACCGGAATGCCTTACCTACATTATTATTACTATAATTTTGGCCCATAATATTCAAATGAGTTAAAATGCTTCCATTCTATTAAATATTTACTCTTTTCTTGAAAGATATTTCTTTGGTCTTTGGGTAGCAAAAACCTAATTATTAACATGCTAGAAATAGTAGATTGCAAGACAAAGCTTTTTTTGTTTAATCATGTAGTTATTAATTCACATGTGGATATAACAATTATTTGTTGCATTGATCACAATGGCAGATCCAGCAAATATGGGATTTTTTGAGGTCTATCGGAAAGTTCTGTCCGTTCGCGGAATAAAACAAAATATAAAACTTTTTCTTTTTGCCAATTAACTTTCTTGAAAAATAATGTAATTCTCATTATGGTTAATGATTTCTTGTCAGTGCGAGGGCAATTTGTTCATCTCATTTTTTAAAAAATGTTTTATCTTTAGATTTGAAACACTAAAGTAGTGCTTGCATGTCATCTTTTATGATATGATATGAGCATGTTTTATCAAAAACTGCACTTTCTCCAAATACTTTAAATAAATTTTCTGTAGCTTAAAATCCATATAAAATACAGTGCCGTAAAGGAACTTGTTCGGCCAGTCTCTATCGTTTCACATTTTGAATCAATTTTATCATAGTTGTCATCAATATGCATATATTGAGTGGTAAAAATAAAGGCCGATCATGCAATAAACGTGGCGAAAATGATATCATAATTTTGGACAGAGCTTTCTGGTAGACCTATTATTATAATTATTATTATATATATTATATATTGGTATTATTATAAATTACACAAGTTGTTATAAATGAAATATTATTTACAAATCCAAGTGACTAATATGTTTTATATATAGTGCAAAAAGAGTTATTTTACTTAAAAGATTTTTTTTTAATTTATTTAGATTGCCATACTCAGAACTATTCGGTGGTGTATCAGCGTTAACCACTGAGCAATTTAAAATAGTAAATGGATTTTCTAATATGTTTTGGGGTTGGGGAGCTGAAGATGATGATATGGCTAGCAGGTATTAAATTATTTTAAATGTTTTATTTGATTCTGCCTTTTTTCCAAATGAAACATTTATTTTTAGAATAAAACACCATGGTTATCATATCGCTCGTTATCCTTATGACATAGCAAGATATTCTATGTTAACTCATGTGAAACAAAAAGCTAATCCAAAAAGGTAATATTTTGAATGAGTATTATTGTTAGTCATAATTAGTCATTTTTATCTTTTATTTCAATCTATCTCTGTTCTAATATTTTTATATAACAAACTTAACTATTTTAGGTATGATGTATTGAATCAAGGAAAAAAAAGATACGACTCAGAAGGGTTGAATAGTTTGCAATATACTCGTTTAAAATTAGAACAAAGAGCATTATATACTTGGATTCTGGTAGAACTCACACCTGCACATGTTAGTTGATGGAGGGCATTGGCGCCTCGTTGGCCAGATTAAGCTCTTTTGAAATTTATATATTGAAAACTATTAAATAGTTTCAATATTGCAAATATCTGCATAGAATGCGGAGTAGTTAGGAATGAAATAATAAGAATCTGAGTGGATTTAAGAGAATATAACTATAATTTAAGTTACTTTTTATGTGGCTGCTCATGTTAAAGTAAGTAAAAATTTATATTATTATTTGAACAAATTATGTTATTATACTGCACTGAAAATTTTGCAATTTAGGAGTATATATTTTTCAGCATACATAACCCATTTTAATTTATCTTTAATATGTTGTGTATTAAGTTTAAATATACAAAGTAACAGCCATTTATTATCAAACTTTCTTGGTCTAGCATTTAACAAAGAGTTTAATACAATTTTTTTTATCTTGGTTTTTCATAAACACGTAACTTAGTGTAATTTGTATATCTAAAACAATAAATAGTAATCAGGCTGATGATTTTCGTATTTCACATTTGGGAAGCAAATTTTATGGTTGTATGTGCTGAATGTATATAACTCCTTAAAATGTAATATTACGAACTGATAATTTTGCACACTGATTAATTTGGGATTGTGATATTTATAATAAGGTCTATACATTCATGTTTTTGATGGTTTCTGCGAATATTCTTTGAAAACATTCAAATATAGTTAAATAGAACTCATAATTCTACAGAACAAATATGAATAATGTCAATAATGTGGAGATTCAATAATGTATTCATGACCAAGTCGTGGATTTTAGATTAGTATAAAATACACAATTTTTACCAGAGCAAGATTCTAAATAGGCAAAAAATGAACCTAAAACAATAGTTAACTTTAAATTTATTCTTAACTTTCTATCTCTAAAAAATTGCATGTTTAGTAAAATGTACTTAAAATTTATAAGAATGATCATAGAAAAGTAATAGCTCGGTATAGTTAACATTAATTATGATCTGACATGAAATAGAATATAATCTCAGAATTAAGTGATACAAGTATATTTAAAAGTATCGTGATATTCATCCACTAGTACTGTTAATTAATAGGAGTAAGTAATAAATTATAGAAATATTTCGGAAAAATAATTAGGATATCAATATTATATTTCAACGTAAAAATTATTGATAATTTATTCAGTGAAATACATATTAGCCCTTTCCACTCAGACTCTGCAATTCGCGAGTGGAAAGGGTTAGAAATGTGATTACAGTGATATTTTGTTGACTTTATGGCAATAGGATTCTGTTTTTCTATTATTACCGTTTTTTTGAATACTAAATACTATTATTAAATAATAAATACATTTTCCATAATTTTAAATAATTATCTATCTATGTATGCATGTGCATATGTATGAAGACACATTTTTGTGTACTTAATATTTTATAGATCTGTTGTTTATGGAATCTCAGCATTTCTTCTCATTCCAATTAAGGTTTTATTTGATGCGATATATTTTTATATTACCATGTACAGTTGGAACTTTTTTTGAGTACATGTTTTTATTTCGAATGTTTTATAAAAGTTTGAATATTTTGCCTTATACCTTAAACCTTAAACAATAAATTTGAAGTATATGAATTCTATTAATAATTAGATATTTTGTGTTGTGCCAAATGAAGGCTGTAGATATTATAATAAATATTTTTTTTATTGATATAGGTAATAGTATGTCTAAGAACTAGTCCAATATATTACCTAGAGTTAAAGATATTGAACAATGTTATTAATTGAAATTTTCTGAAAAGCACTTGTTATTCATTGCTAAAATGTTTTATTTAAATAAATTTATTTGTAGACAAAGGTTTTAAAAAGCATCTTAATTCTTGTATTTAATCAGTTTCAGATAGAGGAAGTATTTCATTAATTGCAATAACGATTCTTGGGCATGGATCCAAGTATATCAGCAATAATATATTTTGGATGTTTCACTTTAAACTTATAATATCTATAGAATATTTCTTTCATAAATTCACTATTAAGAAGCTTATATATATAAATAGAACCATCGGGATTCCCTAAATTGATGAATGTTTTTCGAAGATTCTGAACTAGCTTTTTATTTATGGTTGAAGGTCGTTTTACAGTGGCCCAAGGAAGAGTAGCAGTAAGAATACTTTGTACTGTTGTTAGACATATTGTATATTTCAACGAGTTATCTGCAGTTATGTCTTCTTCTTCCTCTTCCTCTTCCTCTTCCTCTACTTCCTCTTCATCATTATCATCTTTATTTAATCTACGTGGATCAGTGGCATTGTCAAGAGCTCCATCAACTATTGGCCTAAGTATTTCTTCTGGATCATGTAAATCTTTGATGAAAACGCCTTCACATAATTGTACTGTTAAATCAACTGCTCTTTCATAATTTTCTTCACCAACAGCTTTCGATTCACTGGCAATTTGTTGTTGTTGTTTACTTTTTCCTGCCATTAGTTTTTCATATTTTCGCCCTTCTTCTTCAGAATAACATACCATCGATCCCAAAGAAAGCGCAAAAGCTTTAGCAAGACCACTACGCGAATCATAATCTTTACAGAAATTTAACAGTAAGCCCGGATAATCCAATACATTTGGAGCTACTTCAAACAGGCAGAAAATAAGTTCTCGAATTAGAGTTAATTTCAATCGTTCTCGTGGATTTTCTGGTGGAATTTCACTTTCAAACCAAAACTTAAATTTATTATAATCTTCTCTAGTAATTGTATCAGTTTTACTATGATCCATGTTTCTAAACATTTTACGAGCATGTAAGATTTCTTTCATTGAAGGAAAATCGATTTCTAAATTATATAATATAAAGTCTTTCCAACAAATGGCTTCAGAGTGTCCACAAATGCGTTCCACTAGACACTCGATTTGGGGCGGTTGTAATAGTGACCAGCTCTGTGGAAGTTTGCTGTGTCCTGGAATTTCAAAGCCGATGAGAGATATTAGATCAGCTATAATGAAGACGAAAGCACGTTCAGGTATGATGCCTAAAGGTGCAACACCCATCAGAAGATCCTTGAGCTTGCCTAATTGGCCTACGCGGAAACCTTCTATTGGGCATGGCTCTTCTACTTTCGGTGTGGTCGGAGTTACTTTATCTGGGAACATAATTGCATTAGGATGTATAGTGAAACCGGTCTTCTCCAGCAATAATGCAGGTTGAATTTTCTCTTCTCTTTCAACACATCTTGACAAAACTGTGCACAGTCTTTGAACAGCTGCCTTTTCTAGGTTCATGCGTTCTTCAATTTGGCGTGACATCGACGCATATAAATCAAACAATTGATTCATTTCCGTAGCTAAATCTAACAGAGCACGTGCTTTTATAAGATTCAAACGATAAAGTACACGTTTTACTTCTTGATCGAATGCTGCAATTGCCTCAGCTGTAATCGTATTACGCATTCGGACAGTTTCAGGATCTTCATCATGGATTAGAATGTCTCGTAATTTTTTATTATCTGATATAAAGTTTCAACATCTTGTTATTTTTAATGTAACATTTTAGTGAAATTGGGAATTGAATTTGAATTAATTGAATTATACTACCTGTTGCTTCTATGTTACTTTTAATTTCTTTCGAAGCGGCTTTACTTTTTGATATTGCTGTATCTATCATGTCTGAGAGGAGTTGTTTGGCTTGCCCTATGTTGTAATATACTTGCTCAATTGCTGTTACGTGTGCAGATTCAAGTGCATGTGTCATAGGCGTTTCTAAGACTCGTTCATCGCTTCTTAATATGTCGTACATTTCAGAACGCACTCTAACTACAGCAGAATTCCTGTAAGAATTTCGATTATTTAACTACGAATATTTATTGTTTTTTTTCACTATTTACAATATTTGCAATATTTACTCAGTAAGTAGGAATTATATAATACAACAAACTAAATTTAATACTTATGTCTAGTGGTAATATTTTTTTTGTTAATAAACACAACAAGCATTAAATGATATTAAAGTCAATGTGCAACAATGGAAATTGTAAAAATCATGCTAAAGAATGCGGAGTTTTATAATAAATTACATTATATTAAATCCTGAATATTATATCATATTATATATTAATGAGTTCTTGGCCTAAAGTCGGATCTCGTGAGTTGTGTTAAGCTTCATCTCGAATCAGGATTCTATAACGCGAGATTCTCTTTACATGCGGTACCTAAAATGTCTATTTTCAATTGGGAATGTATTTTTCCTTACAATGTATTTTTTCCTTGTTAGAGCAGATTTGAACGCACGACCTTATAGAAACAAGACTGAACGCTTATCCACTCAGTAATAAAAAGAAAACTGGGTCGCGATTAATTGATATATCTATTGATCGTTATGTAATGTTTAATATTATAACTTACATTTCGTTTGTATCATCATTAACATGCATTATTGGTAATTCACACTTCGTAAATAGTGTTGATGAAGGAAGAATTTCATACGCATTCGCATAGTAATCTGCGAGCATCTGCAATGTGCCTACATAACGGTCCATCTTCATTTCAAAGAAATTTGAATTATCAAATTATCATATGAGTTTCGTGTGCACTATATATATATATATATATATATATATATATATATATATATATATATATATATATATATATATATAATATGTATATATGTATATATATATATGTATATGTATATATGTATATATATATGTATATGTAAAGCTTTGTAATTCAATCACATAATTATTGTCATTGGTAATTAAGTAGATATAATTAAGTACCTCCAGCTGCATAGCATAGATAAAGCAATTGGTTAATGTAGTCATTTCATCAGCTGGCCAATCCAAGGAAATTAATCTGCGCCGTTCAATTTCAGCCTCAACGTGTCGTTTTTCGCATAGATTTATCAAATCCTGGTAAAGGTCGCAAATTCGGCAGTGAATGTCGGCTTTCACCTCCTCGTCACAACGTAATACCGGAGATAACTAAAATTCAAATAACCACTTTATTTTAATGCCATTTTAATCGGCTTGTGTGAAACAAAGTGTTGTATAGACATGATCGCATTTTTTGTGGGATGAATTACAGTTCAATCAGAGGTTTTTTTTTTCATAGTGTATCTAATCATAAGCACTATTTGGGTTAGTTAAGATTTTTTTCAGCACAATACATTTATGATATTTCTCACACACTATAAAATCAAGTGAGGATGTGATGATCCTACATTGCTGGATATAGCAGAAATAAGTTTTTTTCTGCATATTTTTTTATAAAAATTATCCACGTCAGCAATAAAGTTTATTGGTCGAGTTTATTGTTTATTGATTGTGTTAAAAATTAACGTTTGAAGCTACGTGTTGATACCATCATTCCTGTTGGGTTATATATATATATATATATATATATATATATATATATATATAAGTGCTATACATACACTATTATAATATGATTGATAATTAAATATCATATCTTGTTCCATAGCTGGTCGCTTTGAATAATCTTGTAAATGGTCGCGCATGTGAATTATGTATATTGGTAATGCCACAAAGTGCCGTCTTCGGTTGAAGAACACCTAAATTTTTAATGACGAAAATGCAAATTATTTGAAATAATGTTTAAAACTAGATTATCAATGACTAATATTTACAATAAAAATTAATGTGAATCTAATAATATATTAAACATCGGTCTTGTGAAGATTTGAATCTATTTAAACGTTATTTTTAATTTACCTGCTGCATCTTACTGTAATATGCAGATTCTACATCTTCCCAAAGGTCAGCTAAAGATGCTATTGCAGATTCACTTAAGGGTTTCGATACAAACTCAAATTCGTCGATGTTTGAGTCTTTGGAACTTTGGTTTTCCATGATAGTTGTGTTTAGTATTGCAGGATCATCTACTGGACAACGCCATATTTTAGTTATATCGGCTATTTCCTCCTCAGATTCGCAATGGTTTTCCTTGATATGAAAATTTGAAAGGTGTATTCTCAAATATGTAGATAAATTTCAATTTGGTTTGGATTTGTAGTACCTCCGAATTTTCTTCAATTGTTTCTAGCTGGTATGGGTTTTGATCTTTTGTACCAACAGAAAATCCAAGTAGATCTTCTGATGTTTTCCATGGTAAACTATAATCGCCAATGATTTGCTTAGCCATCTTTTTAACCGTGTTGACATCGAACTCCGTATAGTATTGGTTGGAATATATACCCTAAAATAATAATTTTTTAATGGTCTGGCTGTGCATTTGCAACATTTAGAAATATTAGAAAATTATAAAGATTGATTGTAAATAATATATCTATACTGATTTAATTTTGATATTATATTAAGATACTGCTCTTAAAACTTAAAGCTGAAATTTAATTTTGATATTAAAAGATCATAGTTTATAGTAATAAGACTTATTTCTTCAGTTCTGAGTTTTATGTAACAAGTGACCTAAAAAAATACATCGGTTTCTTCGTTAAAAACTTTCAAAATATTTCTGACGAAAATCAAAATCGTTTAATGGAATAAATATGTATTTTCACATACTGCTCAAATACTCCAGAGCAGTATATCTGAAAAGTGAAAGCAATTTAATAGTGTCTTTACTATTCCATACGTTGACATATATGCTTATATCATATCTAATATAAAATACATGTAACAGTATGAAAATACTTCTGATTAGATCCACTTCAAATGTAAGGCTTTTCACTATGTTCCATGTCTTTTATAATAGTTTTAATTATCATTAATCCTTCCATTGCTTAATAGTTTAGTTGTATTGCATTCTGTATTTGTTTCACAATGTAGTATAACAAAATTACATGTCGATATAGATACTAGAAAATATCTTCTAATTTTATTTGATTTACTGCTCTGAAGATTTTAGTTCATATTCTTTATATATAGGGAATAAAATAAAATTAAATAAGCGATACTTCATTAGATAGGAATCGAAACAGATAGAGGTGCGAGGTGCGAGGTGCGAGGTGCAACGAAAGGAAACCGATGGATTCTGTTCGGGATTAAAAACAAAAATTTGACACTATTCAAATTGCTGACCTGCTTCATATAGAACATGGATATCTTATCCTCGTCTGCTGGGAACAATAATGGCTTCTCAGGAGCTTCTGGAGATCCACGCACGTGTTGCATGCGGATGTAAGCTGTCAATATCGTTGGCGCGTCCGTCGGCGGAGTCCGAGGATGCGGATTTGGCAGCACAATTGATTTCAAACGTTCGTCCGGCGGAGGAGGATCTTGTAAACCCAATCCACATATTGGTTCCTTACCTTTTGAGGTAATTTATATAATTCGGAAATGATTTATTTTATATAGCTCAAAAATTAATTCAATCAATATTCATGGTTTGTACCTGTAATTACAGTTTCAAACATATTCGCTTGGAACAAAGTTTGAGGAAATCCCATGAGTGCCCAACCATCCCTTCCCTCACAATTATTTTGTATATATTTAATTACCATTTTCAAATATAAATCATCAGGAATTTTTAAGCCACCAACCAGCAATCTGTAAAGTTGTATTTTTATGTTAACTACATTTTTAATATTTGATTTTTGTGTAATTTTTTAGAATCAACGAATCTAAAAATAACATCTGGGTCCATTAATCAAGTGAGGTTTTTAGGCGGGTTTTAAAATAAAGAAACTTTGTCTAATATTTCTTAAGTATTATATAAACTGAGTTGCAAAGTCAAAATTATTATTTGAAGTATATAAGTGATGTTCAGAACTTTAGCTAGGATTCAAATTAAAATCTAAATTATTTTTCGATATTCAAAAAAAATTTTTTTTTAATTTAATTGAAATAAAAAAAATCTTCAAAAGCATTCGCTTAGTCAAACTGGCAGATATTTTTTTAAATCATTCAAATCGGATGCTTAGTTCTCTCAAAAACTGCCATTTTTTACATTTAGCTTTGTAAAACGAATCACCACTTTTCTCCATCATTACGAATTGAATGTTTTTTGGATCATTTAATTTGGTTGAACCGTTCTCTCAAAAACTGACACTTTTAGCACTTTTTACTCTATATCTCTAAAGCCGCTGGACCTGTATTCGTCAAAAACTAATCAGCACTCATCAATAGAAATCGAATGTTTTTTTAACCTTCACATACACACCCAACCATTTTTTCTGAGGTATGCCAAAAGGTTCAGAGACTTCTAAAACGTGAAGATATTCAAAAATTTTCGATTTTTGGCTCATTACTATAACTTACCTTACGGGAAGTTAAAATTGTGCATTTACTATTCAATACAATTGAACTGCGAGTAGAATATGTTTGTTTGTAGTTTTGTAAACATTTTTCTTTCACTTATTAAAGTAAACAGCTAATGGGATACGATTGCATTTCATGTACTTTGCTGATATAGAAAGATTGCGTTGTTTTGTATTTTTGCCTATGTATTTAACTATAAATTAATTTTAATTTAATTAACAGCATTTGAAAGCATGTGTTTGATAAGGTATAATTTTTATGGGACACTTTAGATTTTAGGATTCACCCTAGAGCACAGAATGTTTAGGAATTTATTTTCATAAATCAGGTAATACAGAAACGGCTAATGACAATAGCGATAGATCTCTTAATTACTAACAGAATCAGAAATCTAAAGCGCCAAAAATTTATTTATTTTATTGGTTAACAGAAGTTTATTTTAAATATTTGTACCTGTATGCAGATTCTCCAAAAGAAGCAAGCTCGGATAAAACAATTACTTCTGGTATTTTGATAGGTGTTTGCGTTTCTTTATGTATAATCGATTTAGTAACACATTCTACTTCTTTAGGTTCACCTTTTCCCTTCTTGTCTTTTCCTTTCTTACTAGCCTTTTCAGAAGCTTTGCCATTTTTGCTTTTTTTTCCATTGCTTACTGGTTTTGCTGCAGCTGCAGCTGCCTTTTCGGCTGCTTTTCTTGCTTTCTCTTCTTCTTGAAGTCGATCATCATCCGCTACGAAAATTTCGCCTAGTAATGATCCTTCTCCTGGTTCAGGTTCTCTAATAAATAATATCAATGATTAATGATATATCGAAGTTGTTTTTGTATTATTTTTTATGCTCACCTCGGAATTTCATATTCTTCAACTGAAACACTACATACGGCCTCCTCTCTATATTTGTTTATGGCAAAATCAATAACATCTGCTGGTTCAATCACCTAATTTTATAAAATACACTATAGAAAACATAAAACTAATAATTAATGGACTAGATTACTTTTATAAAATGATGATTTTACTTGTGTTCATCTTCAATGCCCAACTTATGGAGCTTCATTATTTATTTTTATGGAAAAATATGAAATGATATTTTGCCATTCGGATCATAATAATATTCAAAGTGTAGGTGTATGCAGTTTAATTTGTATTTTTTTCTATTTCGTATGTAGAACCACTAAATTGTATAGCTGAGGACCCGATAATGATGTTTTTACTAGTTGCATAAAGGTTTAGTTTATAGATTAGTATGTGTCAAAAGTTTCATACAATTTAAAGATCTATTTTTAAAATAGCGTTTCTACAGTGAAATACAAACAAAGTGTTTCACATAACACAACAAAGCATAAGCTTTCATCTTTTCATGATATAGAAAAAATATATATTTACGAAAATTCAAATAGAATCTTTTTTGTAAATGAGATATGTTAATCACCATTATTTTTTTATGGCGTAGCAAAATTCTTAATGCAGCCATAACGTCTGCGCCTCTTGCGCCTATTACAGCGGCACGAACTGTCACTTTTGGTAGTTCCACTGCAGGATTCGCTTCTGGTAAAGGGTACTTCTTATCAAGTAATACGTGTACCACGTGTCCCAATAGTATGCAGTCCGGTTCTTCGTCTCCTAACTAAGATACTCTGTTATTTGCTATTTTAATTACAAACATTAAAAGCTAATTTGTTTGGAGATGGTCCTTCAAAGCTTTCATGATTTTGGTTTAGATTAGAGAAAAGTTTTGGAGATATTAAGCAGATGTGGGGGCTTTTTTATTTAATCATATTTGCATTTTTTACACATTTAAGGGCAAAACGGACAAAATGACAGTGGCTTTATTTAAAAATTGGCTAGTTTTAGTAACGTTTTCGCGACTGTATAATGTGAGTAATGCCATAATCATAATCATGTCATATGTTGAGCTTCAATGTTACACTCGCAGTCGCAGTAATACTTTCAAACGTGCATCTCGCATTCAATGGAATATTGATTCACTTTCGACAAAATGACATACCTACTTATACAATGGACAAAATGACATATTTCGCAAGAATTACATCGAGGTCAAGAAAGAAATGAAACCAGTCAAAGGTGATTGGCTTTTAACTTCTACTCTAAATACTTTTAAAAACAGGCTAAAGGCTTCACTGGTAATAGGAATAAATTTGCATTTGTAGCAAAGCCTTTTTATCCTGTTCTGAGGTCGGTGAGGGTTGGTTTTGATATATGATTTGTGCCTTTTGGGCTCATGCGTGACGTGATGTTGTCTCAAAGAGGACCAACCGACTTATTTGTGAACTTTGTTCTTAAAAATTAGTATCTCAATATGTGCTTATCTTATATGACATTTTGTCTGTACTGTATGGATTAAATGATTTTTGCAATCAGTTGCATTTTTCCATAATTAATACATTATTATAGTTTCTACTTAATCAAAATACTATGTTACTGGTAGTAAATGAACCTAACCTTTGAGACTGATTATACCATTAATCATAATTAATATTAAAAAAAAAAACACCAGTTACTTAGGTTGTACTTCCCCCACGTGTTCTCACATACTGCATACTACTTTCTATTACATATTTAATGGGCACCCTGCCATAAACTATTCGTTGGTTTATGTAAAAAACACATGATATCTGCGATATGTCTTATTTATTCATCAGTTTGTGAGTCACTAGTGACCACATGAAAGGCCGACAAACCACTTTGGGTTAATCACGAGAGGTTTTTAGGGTGAGGGCGGGTTTGACAAAAAATCACGAAATATCACGTGGGGGAGGGAGGGGTATAGCAAGATATCACGTGTATTTAGTTTTTTACTATTTTTTATAAAAATGTTCAAACATTTTTAAAAAAAAAATCAAAAATTTTACAGTTTTTTCATGTAACTAAAAATACACGTGATGTTTGGTGGGGGAGGGGGGGTAATTTTGAATATCACCAAGGGGGAGGGGGGTCTAAAAATCCTTAAAAACTCGCTCACGTGATTAATGGACGCCCCCTGTGTTAATTATGTTAGGTTAATAGTTCGTTAATAACGACGGCAACATTTTCAGGGCCAAACAGCTAGATATAGTTTATTGATATAATCTAACTTTTAAATAAATTTTCTTTCTTCAAATTCATTAATAAAAACTGGTGGTAAATGACATTGTGTTTTAAGACTAATTGCTATAACTTTTTATATATGATGATTACAAATAAAATTTTAAAATTAGCAAAGGAAGTGATAATTATAATTCTACTGAAAATATTGAGCATTTTCAAATACTCTATGAAATATAGAGATATATTAATCTCTGAAGTCAACAATAGTTTTACATCTAATTTATTACTGTTTCTCACTTCAATGCGCCAAATATTTCTCTTTTCGTGATAGTCGAAGAAATCGCGGTCGTTCATTGTTTCTTGACGTAGCATTTCCAAAAGACTTATTTCATCCTCTTCGCTTATAATGTCTTCAGGGTTTTCGATTATTTCTTTGATAGGTAGGCCGCTCACGAACAGAGAACACATCTCAGACCAAACCTCTTGCGATACGTCACTTGCATATTTTGCTTTATACTGGGCGACGCTTACTGATAAATCAATGAAGGCATTTGCAATTTCTTCGCAAATACCCTGTATGTCACCACGAAGTCTGCGGCTCTTCTCTTCGTACAGGCGTCTATTTTTTAAATACATACTTATAAATCATATGCAATATGATTTATAATTATTTTTATATTCTTCTGTATAAGTCGATGTTCTATTTAAAACCAGGTCTATGTTGAGTTGAGAGAATATTTTATTAAATTCATGGCTTTTTTTATTATATCATTAATCGCTGTATTTTTTTAACTTCCCTTAGAGTAAGTTATTGTAATGGGCCGAAAATCGAAAATAAAAATTTTTGCATATCTTCACGTTTTAGAGGTTTTTGAACATTCGGGCATACCTCAGAAAAAATGAATGTGTGTGTGTGTGTTTTGTGTGTCCGCAATTTTTTTCAAATTTTCAGGGGCACGGATTAACCGATATGAATGGTTCAAAAAACATTCGATTCCCATTGATAACGAGATGCTCTGAGTTTTTGGCAAAGGTAAGTCCCGCCGTTACGTTGAAAATAGAAATCGAGTTTCTGAGAGAACAGAGTATCCGATCGGAATGATCCAAAAAACATTCAATTTGTAATGATTGGGAGAAGTGGTGATTAGTTTTTGGCAAAGGCGGATCCAGCCATTTCGAAGATACAGAGCTAAATATACAAAAAATGGCAGTTTTTGAAAGAACTAAGCATCCGATTTGAATGATTCAAAAAACTTTCTGCTTGTGTTGACAAAACAATTGCTTTTGAAAAAAACATTTTGTATATTGATTTTTTTTTTGTATATTGAAAATAATTCAGATTTTAATTTTAATTCTGGCTGAAGTTCTAAAGCTTACTTGAATACTTTAAATAAATAATTTTAACTTTGTAATTCAGTTTATATAATTCTTATAAATATTAGACAAAGTTACAGTACTTATAATAATCTATTCAAATGTTTTCAAAAACATTTAATATTCGTTACGGTACGGGAAGTTACAGCAATTTGCCTTAAGACACGATGCGATAACCACTAGTTAATCGAAGTTTCTTTAACCTAAGGTTGATGGCAACATCTGTAACATTCTTTCGAATATGCTAAAGTGTATTATTAATTTTAAAAAAAATCTACCGCTTTTAATAATATCGGAATATATGTTTTTTATACCATCTGATATCTTATTGTTAGATAGTTTGCAATAAACAGGAAAAATAGGGTGAGGATAAATATGTATATATTTGACCTAAACATTAAAACTGAAACGAAACTGGAGTCCTTTTTTTTTTCTTAAAAACTGATTTTACTAGTAGTGCATGGCACCGTGTATTAAGCCAAATTGTCAGAATTTACCGTACCATCATTTAATATTTTTTTGAAAATTTTGAAATCTTTTGGATTTTTTCGAACAGCGCTGCGTAGCTGCGCTATCGAGGCCTGCCTTCCGTCTTAGAGACGAAATATTGAGGCCTGCCTTCCTAAAATTAGTCAATTCTTCAATACGTCAATACAAGAAAAATGATTTTTGAATGAATTAAAGCGAGCGTTTTGTTCTCTCAAATACTGAATTGTCATTTTTTCAGTTTTCGCTCGTATCTTCGAAACGGCTTGACCTAGCCAACAACTAATCAGCACGTCTTCCTGTCAATAGTGATTGAATTTTTAATCATTCGTGTTCCCGAAATCGTCGACGAAATTTTGCACATACATACATACGTACATACATACACACACGCATACATACATACTTACATTTTTTTTCTAAGGTAACTGAAACGTAACGTAAAACGTAATATGCAAAAATTTTCATTTTCATTTTTTGCAATTACTATAACTTACCCCACGAGAAGTTTTTTTAAATTGTATTTGGCCTCGCTTATTGTGAGCATCTACAAAATCTGCGAGATGTTAAAAAATATTTTGACACTGCTGTAACACGGAGATATCGTGGATAATAATTCGAAAAACCGAATTTTATTAGTTGTTTTAAAAATGAACAAACAACCCTGTATTTCGCATAATCACATGCAAAAGTTTGATTTGCTCAAATAGTTCTTCTATTTTTTCCATTCTTTAAATTTAATTAATGACAAACATATAATTATGCACACAAATATGTGCAATGCTTTATTAATTTTAAAGTTTCTTATGAAAACATATAAAAGATAACGATTCAGTATTAAAATTTGAATATAAAATTTAACTCAATACAAAAAATTAATATAAAATATACAAATGGAACAAACTTCAATATAAAAGAACGAAAATATTCTAAAAGGACTGTAGTTATGTCTAGATCAATAGATCAAGCAAGTTCAAAAATATTCTGAAATAAGATGATGCAACTTGCGAAAACACAATGTGTCATATGAATTTAATTCAAATTTATTTTTATAAATCACATACCTATGCAGCTCCCAGTTCCTTTCTTTTTCAATTCGCACGGCTTCATTTGCACCATCTTTATCAAGTTTTAAGTTTAATAACATATTAGTACTGTCGAAACTCGAACAACGAATTTGATCAGCGTACTGTAATAACAGTTTTGATAAATGCTATTTTATGGTTTGAAAATGAATTAAGTTTTTTAGTTTGAAGATCACATAATGTATTTTTTGGTACTTGAAATGTTACGTAAGCTTACACTATATCTATTGCGATAACTAGAAGAAGGAGTTTCCTTAAATTCTTGCTAATTTCATACTATTGTTGCAGAAGTATGAACAGAACTTTGAAATCTTAGTTGATAGTTTTTTTCTATTATAATATTCTATTCTATTCTAACATTCTATAATTTCATTAATTCTATTATATTATATTAATAGTTCTATTTATAACCTGTGTAGCGTATTCAAAATCAGCTTTTTGATCCATTTTAACCTCTAATAGAGATGTACCCATTTGTTTTTCATACACTGATTGCTTTTTTAATACGTCTAATATAGGAGCATCATATTTGCAATGATCTAATAGATCGATTTGACCAAAAACTTCTTCCTCGATCCAAGTACGAATTCTTTTTGCAAGAACCATACGATAATATTGTTCTCGTTTGCGATCTTTCAATTGTTGTATGAAACTGTCTACTTCATTCTAAATAAATATTTAATGAATTGAATGGAATAATAGTAATTATACCAGTTAGTACAAATATATCAAGTATTATGAATTATGGAATTAGATAAGTTTTACCTGAATATAACCAGGGTTATAAACCATTTTATTCAAATCCGTTTCCGCACGATTTTGCATCATTAAGAGTTCGTAATAATTTTGGTTTCTTGTGCAACATGTACGTTGTTTGCCACAAACTCTTTTTTCGAACACAGCTATGTCTTCTTCCAAACGATCCCACGGCGTTTTACTGGTTGTAGTTGTTTTTTCGGAAATTGATTTTTCTTTTTGTAAGCTATCTTTGAGTGAATGCTTTTGTTTTTCACTACCTATATTCTTTTTTGGTTTAGCTTCTTCTGACCATGCTCTGCACCTTGCCAAGAAGTCTTGTTGCTCATATAATGGTTTCGATGCAATAGGCTCCTCGTAGCATCTATATTCGGGTGATATACGGTATACCTGAAAATCACGTTCTAACTTTATATAGATACATATATATTTATGTATATATATATATATATATAGGGCCGGTCCTGGGGTCCTCAGCGCCCGTTTTAGCATGCCTTGCTATTTTTGTTCTAGCGTAGGGGGAGCTTTTTTGTTTTAAACATTTACGTTAATTTATTTAAATCTAGCGTATTTAAAGCGTATATATATTTTCTTGGAATATCGAGGCAATTCGTTTTCGCACTACAGAACTATTTTTAAATTCTTATTTTCAATCCAAACTTTTTCAAAGGACATTTAAAAGTTTCAGTATGTTTATTAGTGTTTGTAAAAATATGTTTAATTTTTCAATTATTTTTAACGCATTTGTAATATCTGGATTAAAACGGATTTTTTCAAAATTCAATCTTTGGGTCAATGCACGGAACATCAGAATTCATTTTAGATGTATGGTTTCTTAAGCAAAGTATCTTATTTTGATTCTTAGTATCCGAAAATTGTATGTGCCTAAGCAACTTTTAAATCGACCCGCCCTAATGTATATATATATATATATATAATATATATATATATATATATATATATAATATATATATATATATATATATATATATATGTATATATATAGGTCACTAGAATAGTATTCCGACGATCGTTGGTGGCGTAGTATAGTGAACGACTTGTAACGGATAACACATAATGCTAATTTTGGTTTCTATATTTTATATTTTAAATTATAACACACTGATGATGAGACAAACCTAGTCTCGAAACGTTTGTGAAATTATTATTTAATAAATTAGTGCAAGAAAGAGTGTTGTTTGGTCATATTTTTAAATTAATATCTATCCACTCAGAATACATTTGTTATATATTATGGCGGTTTGATTTGTAGCGGGCGAAAAAAATCGCTTAGGCACATATTATTTTCAGATTCTATGGATCAAAGTAAGAAACTATGCTCAAGAAACCATAACTCTAAAATGAATTATCATGTCTCGTGTCAAAATTGTTAAATAAATTTGAATGCTAAATATAAAAATTTAAATGAATAGATTAGTACTTAGACTTCAATAACAGTGCATATAAATATGTAATTCAAAATTGTGGGATCGTTCAAGTATTACGTAAGCAGATTTATTACAATTATTTACCCTCCCATCCCCCATGTCAGCAAAAGTAAGCAAAGCTGTCACCAAAATGTCACCCAAAATAAGCAAATCAATCACCTCCTATAGTGCTTACGTAATACTTGAACGGCCCCTGTTAACTAAATATATAAATTTAAATGTTTGAATTATTGATAGCTTAGCTTAGCAATTGCGACCAACCCCTATCACTTGGCTCCAATCAAAATATCCGAAAACCTGTCTGGGGATGACCTAACAATTTCAGATTTTAAACAAGCTAAATGAAATTGCTTTCAAATTAGATTATCCTATTCTACCTTGAATTTTAGAATATAATGTTTTTATTTACCTCGAATTTTCTGGATTCATGTCTAGGGTGCAAAGTTCGTGCTATTTCCGTGAGAACAAAGTGCGCTCTCCCTTTGTCAATAAGGGCAAGATACATTTCGTACAGAATTGCCAAAGCTGTCATTTGTTTACCACGGCTGAGATCTAAGACCTGTTCCTCTGTACAACGAATACCGATCAGTAACAGCCAGCAGGCGACGCGCCGTTGGTTGGCGTACATGTCGTTGCAACTGAAAGGCAAGTGAAAACTTATTTGATATAATCAAATTTTGAATTCCTTCAGTCTCAATTATTTTTAACAATGAATATTCCTTCTCATTCTATTTTGAAAGTTTGATTTTTTGCAAGTGTTGAAAAATTTTAATTTTTGTTTTGAAATATTTGATTTTTTTGATAATATGTATTACGATTTGTACTACATAGCAAACAATAATGCAAATTTTGCTATGTTTATTCCCATTTTATCAAGATTTATGGTCTGATTCTGCCGTGAAATAGACCAGGTATGGCACGACTATGATAGGTTCCAGTTTTTATACAAAATGCTACTAAATACTGCCAAAATACCATGTACAGTCAACCCTCGGGTAACGCGGCAAGTCCGTACCGTGCAGTATGGGGACCGTGCTATAAAAAACTCGTATTTAACGTACAACGTGATTAATGGAGGACCCCTAATTGGATAATAGCGATTTTCTAAATTTATATTTTTTCGACTTGTAACTTTGAATTGATTAACACTGAAATTGTAAATAGTTGTGTGTGTATGAGAGCATTCGAAAAAGAATTTCAATGACGATGACTATTATTAGTACATTATAGAGCCGATTCTGCCATAAAGTAGACCAATGCAATGGCAAGGTTATATTATGTAGCAGTTTTTACATAAAGTAGTACTAAAAACTGTAAACTGTGGTTGCTGTGTAGTCAGGCATTTCAGATAGAAAACCTAACCTGAAAAACACACAAATGTGAGGAAAACAATTTTATCATAACTGCAACTTTGGGATATGGCTTGATAACATATGAGTGAAGTTGCATTTTTTGTGTAAAACATAGCCTTGCCGTTTATATATATATATATATATATATATATATATATATATATGTGTTTGAGTAGATAAGTATATAATTTTATACTACCTTTCAATCTGCTCTAGTTGTTCTTGAGTTATGACGCCATATGATAATAAAACTCGTGTCATGAGTCTCCCGTCTTGTAAGCTACTTCCTATAGCCTGCGGAGACAAATCGGGAAGACTCTGAAGTCTCTGGCTCAACCATTTACGTATCAATTCCGTCATATTCAATATGATTAGCTCAGAATTTGCGAAAAATTCTCGGGTTAGATTTGTACAATTTCTTTTTTCATTGTTTTTGTAGCGTATGTCAATTTTAGTTTTGACCTACTGTGTTACTAATTTTTTATTTGAGATTTCGTTAACTGTGAGTATAGAAAATAAAATATATTGTTATGATTTTTAGCAGCGATAATTGAAAACTAACAAAATTATAGCAAAGTTCTCTACATACAATCACATTATTTTATAAACAGCATTAGTTGAAATTTATTATCATTAATTAAAATTTTAGATCATCTATTATCAAATTAATGTTTAGAAAATTATTAAAACACAGAACAGTATAATCATTCCATTGATAATTTTAATATAAACTAGTTGGTATTGGTATTTAGCCTTGAGGTAAGTTACATGAACTTCCCGATATGTGTAATTAATCGACTTAATCAATAATAAACAAATTAATTTATGAGTGATTAGAAGTATTCCGAGAGGATTTATTACACATAATTGAAAACTAACGAACACGTTAACTTGGAGTATTTTCTAAAAGCAAATTTTCACAAATCAATAATTTTTATAATTGAACCAGTTTTCGTAGGACGTTAATGGTTAAGTATGTTCGTTAAGATCAAGAAATCTATCGTTATACCAAGTAAATGGTCTAATTTTAATTTTAACCAACTTCAAAAAAACTACTCATTTTCTCAAACTTCGATGAATTTTTAAAATTAAACTACTTGTCGTAAGGCCGTAATATGTCAGTAAGTTCTATAAGACCGTGATATACATAGCCAAAGAAAGTTTCGTAAAAATTGGCTTAATTTTTTTTTTTAACAGTCAATTACAAGAAAACGGCTCGGTAGATTTTCACCTAAAAGTAATCAGTATTATTCCGAACTAATATCTTTCGAACAGGTTTCGATTTTTTAAAATCGATTCGGTAAAATGAGCTTAAATGTGGACGAAAAGTTAAACACTGTTTTTCAAATTACAATGGCTAGGCAGATCGTCTCACAAAATTGACAAACTATAGTGCTCATTGAGATACAGCGAATGGCTTTTAAATTTCTGAAATCGGTTTAGGCGTTTTTGAGAAAACGGCGATTTACGGCATACACATACTTTTTCCAAATTTGGTCTCATTCGATTCAGAGTGGCTTGAAACGTCGAGAAAACATAAAATTACCGAATCGGATTTTTTCATAAAAACATAAACTTCTCCTTCGGGCAGTTAATAAAAACTAAGTGCAAGTAGCATTTGGAATTGAGGCACTTACCTTTAATGAATTTTTATAATTAATCCACTTCTCGTAGTTGCGTAAGTGTTATCAAAATCGATAAAAAAAAATTACAGAAATAATTACTATGAAACGGGGTTTCAAGGATATTTTTCGATAAGTTTTGCACTTTACTAATTCTACAAAAACGATTCGGCCAGTCAATGCGAATCTTATCGAGTTTCATCAAATTTTTGGAATCGGTGCTGTCATTTTTGAAATGTCGATGAAAGATCCATTTTTGGTTCACATACAGGAACAATACACTACAAATCAAAGCATATAAAAGTGCCGACATATGGTATATTTACCTGAGACCAAGCTCTCAAGACATAAAAATCATTGAAAAGTATTTTGTGTCTTCCGCATAACGTCAGAGGAAACAACATGCGTCATTTCTAGAATACAAGTTTTCAATATGTTAGCAGAGGAAAGAAGGATCTTTTATGGACAGTGAAAGTTATCAACTTTGTGTCCTGGAAATTAAGAATTGATTAATGGATTAAGAACTGTCGAACGAGCTTAGATCGATGGTAGCACTAGTGGGATATTACTATAAAGGGTAGATAGATACACCGTCTTATACCAAAACTCAAAACTTAAAGATTATCGTATCGGCATATACATAAACACACATACATAAATACGTTTTTTAACTTTGGTGTCGAACGTTTCAGAATGACTTGAAACATGTTGATAGATAGGCAATTGAGATTTTTTCTTTTTGCGCCAAATAAGTGGGACGGTCATAATTTTTTTTTTTTAAATATACTTCACTTGCATTAACTTATTTTTTTATTAAGTGTCCCTATGATGTTGTCGTGATGATCTAAATAATAATATTTTATACAGCCTCATAACTGAAACTATGTCCAATAATTTAATATTGGCCAACTAATAATATTCTATGAATTGTCTGAACCAGGTTTTAGTTTACATAGTTATTTATATGTTTCAGTTTTAGTTTATATAGTGTTTATCTATACATGCATAAATATGCACTTGTGCAATGGCACTTAATAATAACTAACGAAGAATATTGTATATGGTTTATTTGACCATTATTTTTTACTATATGGATATAAAATGTTATCAGACTACAAAATCTGGATATATAATCCACAATCAGCTTTGGATTATTTAAGTTCACTAGACTTACTAATTATAGTATAGTTTTTTGTATTTTATGCGCTTAAGTTAATCAAGTAGATTAAGCTCAAAATTCATTAATTCATAACAAAAGTCATAAATCCATACAAAAACTAATAATTGAATTTGGGCCGAACTCATCGTTTGTATTACCTCTCAAAACAAATTATATCTATATATCTCAAATAATATTACATTACAACGCACAATGGAAAATAAAGCCAAAAAAAACGAATAGTTTTTATAGCATACTAATAATGGTTTGATGTTTATGCAAGATTGAAATTTTTGATAGATTTGAAATAAGTCAAATCAATTGTCTTCCTATTCTTGTCTTTAGAATGCGGCATTTACATATGTGTTTATTACTGGACCCCACAAAGACGATCAAATAAGCCTAATCTAATATTTGCAACTTTGGTTAGAAATATATGATTTGTATAAATATGCATTAAAATTGAAACAATATTGAACTTTTAATAAATATATTATTATAACATATTAGCACTTATGTCATATGATGCTAATTTAGATTAGTTAGGCACATTCTAAACATGATCTTATCACATAATCATTATTTTTATTTCACGAACTATTTGGTTGGTAATTTAATACATACAATTAAACTCTTTATATCATGAAAGGTATCTATCATTATAGCACAAAATGTACCAATTTGAATATATTGTAAGACAATTGCAATTATATTTCAACAACTGTATTAGTTACGAATATAATTTATAGGATTCATAAAAACTAATTGTGTTCAATTATCATTCACAATATTCATAAATAAGCAAATAAATTATTCAATAAAATATATAAAATTGATGTTTCTGTAACATATATACTATAAGATAATAATAGGATTGTTAGAAAACTTTAAATTAAAGTGAAGTCTATTTCTTTAGTTCTTTAAGGTGCTTGCATTTAGATCAATTTCAAGACTATTCTCAGGACTAGAATTCAATTGGACATTATTGATCTCTGCACGATGTTTTCCATCAGAGACAGTCGTTACGCTTCTGTAAAATGAGGACCAAGCGGGCATTTGATTGTTGTTAGTGTCGTCATTCTGAACTTCCAAATTTGTTGCCGGCGTATCGTCTAACTCACGAAGTATTTCGTTAATTTCCTTGGTGCATTTATCTAATTCTTCTATTGCTTTAGCATTGTTCACAGTTTCTCCATTCACAATAGGTTCTTCCACAACTTCGTTGCTGTTAACAGCATCGCTGTTAATAATTGATTGGCAATTATTATCAACTCCTATATCTGATACCAAATTTGGTTTTGCGCTTTCGGCTGGTATGATGGTACGAGTTTTCGGAGTAGGTGGCGATATGGCTTGTTTATTGCCCAAACACTTGACTTCTTCTTTAGATGCAGTTGACACATCTAAATCATTTTCTTTTACACTAGAAATAACTATCACATCTACTGTTTCAACTGGCTCAATATCCCTTGAAACCTTATCAGGTGAACTCGGTGTACTAGATTCATTTTTTTGCTCTATATCATTTTCTACTGCAGTTTTAGACACCTCTGATATCTGCAATGTTATACTATTTACCTCATTTACAGCCTCTAGTTTGGATGAATCTTCACCACTAATGTGTTCACTATTTGATACATCTATTGCTTCTCGTTCTTTGGACTTTTGATCCGCATTACTATTTTCTTCGTCGATTTTTAATTCAGCATCTAGACTTTTATCTGGATTTTCAGTTTCATTCTTTATTTCTAAATTATTGGGTGGTTCAGGCGTAGCTGGAGTCACCACGATTTCGGTAGGTTTAATATCATCTTTTGGGTCTTCAATAATTTTCAGTTCCGTTTTCAAAGACTCATCATCAAGGCTGATGTCCGGCATATTCTGAAATTTCACAAAAGAATTAAAAAATGTTTTTGAATTAATTTTATTCGATTCACTAAATCGTTATTTTTAATTAATTTCTATCTTTCAATTCATTCTATGAAAAAGATATTTATTTATTATTTCATATCTGCACTTTTCACGATAATAAGAATATAAAACAATGTACTCGCAGAACATAATATTAGAGTAATGTATAATATATGTATATGTAACAGTAGTCAAAGATATTTGTAATGTTATTTGTCTTAATGCTTCGCAATGTAAATATTGTCAATTTATATTATTGTATAATTATAGTTACATATTCGATGAAGTTTTTTTTTGAACAGCAAGCAGAACCCAATAGTCTATAAGCTGTTGTGCTGAATTTAATACTAGTCTGTTTGATAGATGGCAACCCAATCAGTTGTCACATCTCTGTTTGATATTTTATTATTACAATTTCTGTAATAGGGCGAATATTTTCAATGGTGCAGCAATGCCGGGTGAGGGCTATTTTCACTTGGAGACATATTGCTATCTATATTTCCATCTTTAAAAATAATCAAAATTTTTAAAAAAATTCAAAATATCAAAAAAAAAAACAAATAAAAAAAAATGAACAATTTTTTTTGTAAACATAAGTTGTTTGTAGAATACACTCTTCGCCCAATTTTATAAGCACTTATAATTTTACAGTAAGTATTTATAATAAATAATCTATTTGGAATTATTTAAAACAGCTATTGATTATTTCCATTTCTCGAATGTTTAATTACGGTACAGCAAGTTCCTGCAATTTGCCTTAAGGCACGATGCCATGCACTAGTTTAGGTAGACTTACTGTAAATATCGGAGGCGGTGGTGCACGTCGTTTCTTTCTGTAGGGTCTTGGTGGCTTTCCGGATGTTTGTTCGCAAGAACTGTTAACACTTAACCTCGAACTTCTGAAAATATATTTTAATATTCTAATTAATATTTAATCATAATATAATAAAACAAGCAACCATTTTATTCGAGAATTCTTATAAAGCATTGCAGGGTTACTACGGGTCCCGTGACGAGAAACTTTATTCAGATTTCTGATGAAGTATCCAATAGGTATGATGAATTCCATTTGTTATTGTTTGAACACGGTTTGTGCACATTTATATCTTTTTTTTAATTCTTGCGAAAACTTATTAGGATGTATTTAACTTACACTTCTTATAAGTTACAAATTGTATTATGTGTATAGTGTTATGACTCGATTAGTTCATAATGTGAATTATTAAAAGAGTTCATGATCCAACGAAATGCTGCCAAACTTTGTTAAAATATGTAGTACACTTTTCGCGGATAATGCCGAAGGACCAGATATATTTAGTTATTTAGTGGCTATATCAGACCAATTAAAAGATTATGAACAGTTTAAATTTTTTTATATTTAGATAAAATGATACGATGTTAAAGATTTATAGATGATATTATTTGTTTGAATGTTAAGTTAATACACACAAAGCCGAACATATGGACAGTGTTCATAAAAACTTTTGAAATTAACTAGAACAAAAAATTGTCCCTAAAAATGCTTTTACTCGTCACAATTTGCGCATTTATCCAACTAGGTTCAAAATATTGAAATATACCTAAAGTTTCAACCTACAAATTCTAGACTTTATGTTACACTTTTTAGCCATCTGATCTGTCACATTTTCACCAAACAACGAAACAAGGTACTTATACAAATTCTAATAGTTTTCGATACACTTTTGCTGCTTTCTCATATTTCTATTCGATAAGGTTTAAAACTTGGGACAAGCATTTTTTCGGTTTACTTTTATACACTTTGAGGGTAATGAAATTTAATTTATACCAATTGCTTGAAAATCTGTGAATGAATTTATCAGATTTAGAACAAAGAACTATCCAATGGAAGAATTGAACATTCTGTCTTCTTGTTATTTCCTAAATAGGGAAACCGATTTATTATATATTTACTATTGACTTTACACATTATCCAGAACTTTATTCTGAATTTGTCGGGTTCATTTGGTATATTTTGTATAAATCTACACCTACATTTCGACGGAAACAATTAACCAAATAACATTATATTCCACCGCTGAAATTGACACATTGAAAAAATAACTAAAATCAAAGAGTGGAGAAAATATTATTGGTATACTCTAAGAATTGTCATATAGTTTGATAATGGCATTTTAACTTTTAAAAATGACTAAGTTTGAAACGATCAATTTGATGGCGTTGGTAGGTTTAGTGTTAACTAATCTTCCATTACTGAACTTTACCTGTTTTCTTCTGCTCTCGGGGGTTGTGCGCCATTGTAATGCTGGAAACGCGGCAGTGGCGTAGGTGTTACGGAGCCCCCGTACACGTAGCGTGGATCCACAGCATCTTCTGCGGCGCATGGCACAGACTGTGTGCTACGTGACAGATTACCTTAATAGGGTAAAAAAACAAATTAAAGTACGATCCATACAAATGAATTAAATATGCGAAAAAAATGAAAAAAATGGCCAACGCAATTCATAATATGAGCCGTCCAGTGCATACACTAATTAACTGTACTTTTTGAAAAAACTTACAATTAGATATTAGTGCGAATGTTCTTGGTATAATCATAGTTTTGTGATTCTAATAACTTCCCAGAATTATAATAACTAGTGGTGTATGGCATCATGCTTTAAAGCAAATTTCTGGAACTTCCCGTACCGTAACAAATATTAAATGTTTTTAAATAGATTATTATAAATAATGTAACGTTGTGTAATATTTATACAAATTATATAAACTGAATTGCAAAGTTAAAATTATTCACTTAAAGTATATAAGTGAGCTTTAGAACTTTAACCAGAATTAAAATTGAAATCTCAATTATTTTAGATATTCAAGAAAAAAATAAAATAATTTTTTTTTCCAAAAGCAATTATTTCGTCAACACAAGCAGAAAGTTTTTTTTGAGTTATTCAAATCGGATGCTTCTTGCTCTCAAAAACCGCCATTTTTTGTACATTTAGCTCTGTATCTTCCAAATGGCTAGATCTGTCTTTGCCAAACTTCTCCCAATCATTACAAATTGAATGTTTTTTAGATGATTCAAATCGGACGCTCCATTCGCTCAAATACTCGATTTCTATTTTCTCTACTCTTTGCTCTTTTTCTCCGTAACGGCCGCACCTGCCTTTGCCAAAAACTAATCAGCACATCTCCCTATCAATCGAATATCATAGGAGTCGAATGTTTTTTGAACCATTCAAATCGGTTGATCCGTGCGCCCGAAAACGTGAACGAAAAAATGCGAGCACACAAAACACACACACACATCCATTTTTTCTGAGGTATGCAAAAATGTTCAGAAACCTGCAAAACGTGGAGAAATGCAAAAATTTTCATTTTCGAATTTCGGTCGATTAATACTATAACTACCATACGGGAAGTTAATTAAACGGTAATTTTTTGGCCACTGAATAATTAGCCATTAATTTAGAAGTCATTTTGATTAACTCCATTCTTTAAAATATATGCTCCGACTGGACCGGATTTCGGGTTTCAAATTTATGAATTTCGGATCAAGCAAATCTGGAATTCTGTTAACCTCGATTGGACAGTATGTTGATTGTCCAGTAGATTTATGTGAAATATACCTCTTTTCCTTTGGCTGTAATTAGTCTAGAGACCCATGATATATGTTTGCAGTTAGAATCGCCTCCCGCTACAAAATAAACTGGAAAGTGCACATAACAATGAAAAGAAAGAAAATAGGTCTTAAAATGAAGGAACTGAACTGGATCATAGGAAGATCATCCAAACTCTCAGTCGAAAATTATCTTCTACTATATAAAGTTGTGATAATTCCGATATGGACATATGGGATAGAGCTGTGGGGTTGTGCCAGCCAAAACAACATTCTTAGCGAGCGAGCTCAAACAAGATACTGAGAATGATCAGCAACACTCCATAGTTTATGACCAACAATATGATACACAAGGACTTGAAAATACCTACAGTGGCGGAGGTCATTAAAAGCAGAAGTTTAAATTTCCAATATAAATTTTACGGACATGCCAATTCTGAAATGCAATTAGTTCAGTCAGCCGAAAATCCAAGGTGACTAAAGAAAAAACGACCCAGTGATCTGCCGCAAACAACAACATATTTGTTTTTCTGTTATGCAAAGAAAAATGTTCCACACAACTTTTAATTATCTTTTATTATTATTTTCATTATTATTATTCATTTATTAAATCCTTTTATATTTCTTCCTTTCTTTCCTTTGTTTTGATTTTCAATATCCACTTTCATCTGATAGATTGTATTTATAACCTGATAGTTAAAATATACTGTGAATAACAATAAAAAAATGAATTAAGGATGCCAAAAAATTCTCAAAAATGTAAACCATGTGTTTGGCCAGAAACTATAGGGTTTCGTTGGGTTTCAAGAAAATTCATCTTGTTTGATAAAGGACATCAAGGCTTAGACTACAAACTTTGAAAGAACAACATATTTGCTTTTGTGTACTAGGCAAAACGGGAATATTAAAACTGTCTCAAGTTTATTGAAACTCGTGCAAAGCACAGAAATAAGAACCGAGTTTACTTAAATAAAAAATTTGGTAAGTGGATGCAGCTATTTGCCAATGATTCATATTTTGCAATTATTGAGTCACATGCAAAAAAATTAAAACATTGGCAAACATGAGATGAAATGACAAGATTAGTTTTCAACAAAACTTTTCATCATTAACAGACAAGTACCCGTAAGTTGCCTTAAAATACTGAACAAAGTTAGAAAGGTTCAAACTACATCTCATTCAATTCAATTGTGGCAATAATGAAGATAGAGCCTTTAATATAAGAAAATTTGTGCTAAGTAAGCAAGATCGCTGTTTGAGAAATATCAGAAGATCAAAATCAGATCAAAATCCTCGCATACATATGACAAAGAATAATGATGATATTCAATCGAATATAATATGCCATAACAAAATTATCAATATTGACTTTTTATGGAATAGCTATAATACATATTTATAAAAAATATTTTTTTCTATAAAAAAACTGTATTTAATTTCGTTACTTTTTTCGGTTGCGAAATCGAATAACTTTATCAGTCACATCAAAACTGTAACGTTACTTACGATTATTTATTTACTATTGTTTGTTATAAACTTTATATTCCGTCACATGTTTTTATTTCAATTTATATTATAACAGGCAATTTAAAAGCAATATACATTACTGCATCGCTTTTCTCCACTTTTTGTTTTTTGGAGTTAGTCATTGTGTGCACTGAACTATATGAATCATATATGAGTTTGCTCTGCTGAATACAAATTTGACAATAACGATGTTTAAAAACTCTAAATTATTTATCTTATCGCCAAGCCTGACATCAGGCAACTTTGATGTCAAATTTCCACTTGAGGTTATAGGTCTCAAATATAGCCTCAAGTGAAAATCGTCTCTCGTGGGTATAGTCGCATATATAATAAACATGTCAGCAAATATTTCGAGTATAGATAATTAGTCATAACTGGACTAATTCGAGTATAGATAATTAGTCATAACTGGACTCGACAACTACTGGGTTGCCATCCATTTAAAATTCATATAATAAGAAAAGTCAAAACAATTACTGAATGTCCTAAGTGTGACAGATTGTAATTAAAATAAAAATCAGAACAAAAATTAAAAAAAATTATCTTATATCATAAGTCCGCCTTTAGTCGTACGTATTATTGTATTTTTTTATTCAATTTTTGTTTTTATTTTAATAAATATATATTTGTTTGTAATCCTCAGTATAAGCATTTCTCATGCTGGACAAATAGACCATTCATCAAGCATGCAAACACTTTTGAAATATCATCACGTTTCTTATAGTAATTAGATGCAAGATCGTAAAATAAATTAAGTTATACAAAACAAAGTACTAAAAGACTATTATGCTTACAGTAAGTTAACGTGATGTTATTTTTTCATTTAAATCTTTTTATTTCTGTATAGCACTCGACCAGCTTTTCAAAAAATTAATCAACTTTACACCGGCAGAACAAGTCGAATGTTTCCGAACAATTTAACTCAAAAACTGTACATAAAATACACAAATGCACACACGTAAAAATCATGTTATTTTTAGGTTTTTATCTCTTTCTCGAAATTTTGCAATAAAAAGTATTTTCCATTCACAATCCTGATTTTTTTGCAGTTTTTGATGAAACTTGCCAACACATTTTAGTACTTTTTTTTTAAAAGAGGTCGTCTCATCAAAGTCGACCGATTTAAAAAAAATTTAATTAAAAATGTGTAGAGGGGAGAGGGTAGCTATTATTCACAGTTACGGTTCTAAAGTTTAAATAAACAAAATTAACTACAATAACCGAAAAATGGTAATAATTTTACCAAAGCTCTAAGGTAGAAATATTTTTATCTTAAACTCCGAACAGTAAATACTTAGTTTCGACAACTTGTTGAGTTTTCATGTTTATTTGTGCGTTTTACCATCTGTGATGTTAAAAAATATATATTTGATCAATGTGCACATACTAATACCATGGATTAATAATATTTTCATATGTTATATTAGGATACAAAATTTTAAATTGATTTCCACTGAATGAAGGCTAAGATGCTAGCCGAAACGTATGGATTTTAAATAAATGAATTTCTAAAAACTCTCATACTATTTTTATTGATGTAACGCTCGACTTTTTAACTCAAATTAAACATATATATAAATATACATATATATATAAATATATATATATATATATATATATATATATATATATATATATTCTTGAAATTTTTTTAATAAAAAAGGTTTGTAGTTCTTTCTTGTTTTTCTTGATGGTATGTATTTTTGTGTCATAAATCAATATCGAAATAACGTTTTAACCCTTTTAAATCATTAAAACTATTATTCTTATAATAATCAAGCATTGGGAATGTGACACTTACCCCCTGGTTTTGACCTGAAAATTGGCTCCTCTGACTGCTGTGCTTCTTGGCTTGACACCTTCATTCCTTTCTTGCCGCGAAATGATCTGAGTGTCCTGGAAAAGAACAATAAATAGTATATGATATGGGCCCACCAGATTTCATATAATTTAATTTGAATAGTTGCTATTGGCAGAAATTTTGACCTCGTACTTAAATAAAGAACCTACATAGTATTTTACTTATTTTAGTTACTTATTGTAAATAAGCTTGACAGAAGTAATATTTATTATTGTGAAAAAATATTAAAATAACGAAATAAATAACTAACTACCCCCTCGTAGCCAATTGTTGGGAATTCCACCAATAGCCGATTTCTCAATATATCTTATAATCGACAATGTATAAAATTTGAACATATTTTTGTATCTATTAAATTTCATTCAATATCACAGGAATAAAAAATCAAAACTATTAACTAAAGTTTTGATTTTTTCTAAAATAGATCTTGATGCAAAATGGTGTAAAATTAAATAGGCATTGATTCAAATTAAGTTGATGATACGGAGCTCTTAATTGTACAAATACATGATTTTATAGCAATGATAAAAGTTCAACATTTTCAGTTCATTTAAAAATCACTTTACATATAAAATAATTTGGTTTATTCGAATTTCTAGCGATAAAAAATTTCAATAATTGTTGTATTATGCCTAACGACTAAGACACGGAGAGTTCTAGATACGCACTTAAATAATGTTTTTATTAAAATCTGCTGAATATATTCAGGTTCTGACATTAATAATAAGTTACTAGACTGTTACTTATCAAAAAATACAATACTCACTTTACTTTTGTACTTTCAAATGTACAAAATCGACTAATTATTGGCAGCTGAAATGTGTGTCTAATTCTCATAGTAATTATAGAGCATTATGATCTCGTACGATATTGATCCAATACAAAATTATATTACATTAATCGGCCTATATTAGTGGAGAATGTAAATGCGGATTTTTTTACAAAATTGCACCGATCAGATTTTTATAATTAATTTGATATAATGTAATATAATTAAGTTGATTTTATGAAAATTCCTTTGTCTTCCTTTTTTGAGTAAACTATATTGCATATTGAAGTGAATGATGGTTTCATATAGATAGACCAAGTAGTTTTGATATTCATACATTGCAAAAATTTATTTTATAATACTCTCTTTAAATTATATTCAATTGAAACTGAAAAATAATAAATGTTTTAATGCAGTACAAGAGCATATGGCACGATAACACGACGCCATGTAACCCATATATAGTTTGAAAATACTTGAAAATTATGTTTATACATAGTTCCTTTTAAAGGTAAGGTAAAAATGAAATTAAAGTATTTTTTCAAATTTCCATGCGTGTGTGGTATATAAAATGAGATTTATTTAATGATGTTTCATGATGTATGTCCGGACGTATGTAGACAGCGATCTTCATGGCATTGAGCTTTTATACCGGAAGTTTGCTACCCTGGAGAGAGGGTAGCACAAAGTTGGAACGGACTTTAGAGGCTTGAAAAATCTCTTTTTTTTTGCAAAAATGTCTTCTAAAACTAGCCAAGAATATATTCCTAAAATTTCAGAAACAAATTCAAATTATTTTTGGAGTTACAGAAGTTACAGGAGTCCACAGCTACAAAGGTTAAAATTTAACTAAATAATCTAAGTTATCGAAGGAGAATCTTTTCGTTACAACATCTAAACACGTTTACAAACTACTTAATACAATATGCAGTAAAAGTCGGCTAAAAAATATTAATTTTTATCCAGTTGAAAAAAATGGAATAAGCTGCAATATCAAACGGCATTGAAAGAATAATTGTAAAAAGTTTTATACCACATTTTATTTCAATTCTATAATTATTTTAATAAAATAATTAAATTTTATCATTTCACGTTTGGGTTTATCACCCTAACTACACGGCTTTATTTAATTAACAATGAATTTATTTGTTTATGTTAAGGGGCACAACTAGTGTGAAATTTCGAAAAAATCGATTTTTGTTTTTTTTCATATTTCGGTAGATTACACCTTTAAAAATAACATATTAAAAATTCAAATCGATATCTCAATTAGTTTTTGAGTTACAACCATTTAAAAAGTATATATATAGTATATTGTACAACGATCATTTTATCTTTAAACGGGTTTTTCTCGAAATTTTCCGAATTTGCTGCAGATTACTCAAAAACGAATAATCCGATCACTATCAAATTTTTTTTACATGCTCTTTATTCTCCGTAAAATGAACTATCGATTTTTTGATCGGATCAAAAATCGAGTTTTGGCTGTCGAAAAACGAGCAAAATTTTGGGTAAAAATCGACTTTTTTCAAAAAACGCCGTCATTTTGTCAATTTTTGATTTATTTTTTTTTATCGTAGTTCATTTTACAGACAATATTATCTAGTTTAAAGAGATTTTTTTTTTTTATTGCATCCACGTAGAAGGGCGGAATCACTGCAGCAGTTAAGGGCCTTTTTTTTGTCGCGCCGTTGGAGATCGACGATAACTTAGAAAATATTTAATTTTTTCTTCAAAAATTTCACTATGTATTCTTAAAACATGTATAAATATATTTCTAAAATTTTGAAGTAAGTTATAAAGTAGTTTTTTAATATAAATTCCCAAAAATCACCTTTTTTGAGGCGGTTACACTAGTTGTGCCCCTTAAATGATTATAAAATATTAAATCACATATTACACATGCCTGGTTTCGAACTCGTTAAAAACAAAGTGATATCAAACGCTAGTGATATTCATTTCCACAAATATAAATTCAAAATATGTTTCCAAGTGAAAACAGTCATTCGTGAGCATTGCTGCATCTTATTAATTAATATATCACTATTAAATAAATTCTAATATTTTTTTTCAAAATTGGTAAACTATTGGCCTGCCATCTGGATACAGCATAAAAGAAGAATCTCGAACTCGACAGATTACAGGACAGAAGTTCTGGTTGCTGTTAAACATGAGTATATGTATTTTATATATGTATATATATATATATATATATATATATTATACACGATTTTTATATTTCACTAGTATAAAATGAAATATATTGGTTTACATGAACAACAAATTATACTGTTCTATAATACAAATATGATGAATACCGCTATGATTCGCCTAACATTGCATCCACCGGAAATTTCGACCTGCCCCAAAACTTCCTCCAGCCTTCTTCCTAGTATATTCATATGTTCGCAATTCACGTTTGTTTAACCGTTCGCATATTTCTGACACGACTGAATATAATCGTGCATGAATTTCAATGCTGGTTGTATTGTACGTGACGTTTTTTGTCTGTCAGTATTGCGAAAAGAAATGCGATTGCCGATTATGCAATGAGAGGGTACTTATATGTTGCTTAATTCTTAAGCTGCGATCACACTGGCAAATATCCCAGTTTATTTGAACAGCAATCAGAAATTTAAGTTTCCTACTTGCCGTTGTGAAGATATCTTTCAACTTTGTGGCTTCTTAGCCCACATATTTTATTATTAGAACATTTCTTACAGTGATGATTTTTCAATTCGATGTAGAAATCTAAGAGAAGGTATATTTTTACTTGGAAGCATATTTCTATCTGTAGTTTTAAGTAAAAACCACTGTCACTGCTGGTTGAGATCAGGCTGTCCGAAGTGGTTTTCGAATCTGGCCTTCTTGTTGGAAGGCTAAAGTTCTAACCCAAATAAAACGATAACAAATGTTATAATTATAACAGTATATTTAAAAATCAAAATTTATTTTGAGACAAAAAGTTTGTGACAAAAAACTCGAAAACGATCTCTAAAATTATTCGAAGAAGTGATACCATATTTATTTTGCACTCAATTAATTAAGTTATACTTCCATCTAATCAACTTATATAACTACAACATGTTAGGATTGCTCTCACTTGGCAACTTATATTTCAAAACATACTTTTTCTTTAAATTTCATAATTAAAAAGTTAAAAGTAATTATTTTTTTTTGTATAATTTTTTAATTTAAAAAGTAACCAAAAACAAATCAAATTTCAAGAAATAATAAAATTCCAAAAAAATATTGTTTAGTAAAACATTGGATGGTAATCCAAATAACCAATAATGATATTCAATAATAATATAATGATAAAACTTTCAAGTGATTAATTTTTTATATTTTTCAATAAGTCTTAAATGTTCATTGATAATTATGAATTTTGAATTTTGTACTGGTTGATTAATTTTTTAAATAAATATTACTTATAAATTGGAATTTGCCTTGATGCACAATGTAATACACATCTAGTTAACTTTCCGCAGGAGTATTTGTTTTCGCTAGAAAATCCAATTTGCTAATTATATGTTTACTCGACATTCTGAATTGATCAAAATTGAAAAAGTATGTGTATTTGAACAAAATTTGACCTTTTGTCGATGTTTTTTCAAAAAAAAAAAAATGTTATTAGGGTTTTGTCTAGATATTTTACAAGCATAGCTTATATATTATCTATAAAAGTTAATGAAAAAAATATTTAAATATCTACAATTGGAATATACCTACCCAAATAACGTAAAACGCTAAACGCTTAATATTTTTACATTCAATGTTTGTTCTATACTTATTTGATATACCAATTAACACCAGAAGCTTAGCGATGCAGCTTCCTCCGTAAATCTTCAAAATAACTATATTTTGAATTTATTACTTGAACTTTTAAAGGTATTTGGTAAATAACGACATTTTTTGTAATTGGTTATTTAATTAGTTTTGTAATACCTAATTTTTATAATCATTACAATATTTTTTTAACTTCCCCGTAATCGCGAAAAAAATCAAAAAAGAAAATTTTGAGTTTCAGAAGTTTCTGAATATTTTGGCATACCTTAGGAAAAAATGGATGTATGTTTGTATGTGTGTGTGTGAAGTTGTGCGGATACAATTTTTTGTCGACGATTTTGAGAACACGGATCGACCAATTTGAATGATTCAAAAAACATTCTATTATTATTGATAAGGAGACGTGCTGTAGTTTTTAGCAAAGGCAGGTCTAGCCGAACTGCAGGGTTCGGTACCAATGTTTATCCGTTATACTGC